AGCCAGACTGAGCAACAAAAAGCCTCAGCCAGACTGAGCACAAAAAGCCTCAGCCAGACTGAGCATGAAGGGCTCGGCCAGAATGAGTCACTAAAAGCCTCAGCTAGACTAAGCACAACAAGCCTCAGCCAGATTGAGCATGAAGAGCTCGGCCAGACCGAGTCACTAAAAGCCTCAGCCAGATTGAGCATAAAAAGCCTCAGCCAGACTGAGTATTAAGAGCTCGACCAAACCGAATCACTAAAAGCCTCAGCCAGACTGAGCATTAAGAGCTCGGCCAAACCGAGTCACTTAAAACTTCAGCCAGACTAAACATGAAAAGCACGTCCAAACCGAGTTACTTCAAGCCTCAGCCAGTCTGAGCCACCATTGCAACTTCATAATCATAAGCATAGCGGCCATACGCGCTCCGCCAGACTGAGTTACTTTAAGCCCCAGCTTCATGATCATAAGCATAATAGCCATACTTAGTCAAATTCTAGTCCAACGTTTTCCAAATCAAACCGGTTCCTTGCTGGGTTAGGATTCACAAACTTCGCATCTTTAACACTCTTACAAGTTAAACTTCACTCTGCATTGAATTTTTCTGACGTTTTAAACTTCACTTTACATTGAGTTTTCCTTACTGTCACTCTGCATTGAGGTTACCTTACGTTTTAAACTTCACTTTACATTGAGTTTTTCTTACATTTTGCACTCCACAATGATTTATATACAAGCCTTATACAAGTCACCATTTTCATTCATTTCAGAAGCACAAACAAAAGCAATAGCATGAAAACATGACTCAAAATTTTATTTATTCACAAACTTGCACATAAGTTTATTACAACCATTCCAAAAAAAAAACCAAAACTCTAAGTACATATTTTCTCCACTCCACTCACTCCTCTTCTTCACTTGAGACGAGATCTTTCTCTTCAATGCCCTCATCTAGAGGGGTCTGAGCCACGTCGTCTTCGTCTATTCTAACACTGCTGAAGTCTATGTCTGGAAACAACTCTTCTGCTTTACGCTTGAGCATCTTCCAGCCACTGTCCCAGAATTCAGCCATTTCGTGTTTGTAGAAGTTCGATTGCTGGAAGCTTTGGATCACTTCGTCTTCGCTCTTGCTCTCAGCAGTCATCCGTGACGGACCAGCCCCCCCAGCCCCCTCTCTCGCCAAGTTGCTGGCAATAGCAGCGTCGATGGCCATTTGAAAGTCAACAGACACCTTAAATTGCTCTACTGTTGCGACGTACAGATCAGGGTATGCTGCCCTTTCAGAGGCTGCCTTAGTTTTTTCTTCCTCAAACTCCTTCTCCAACCTCGCATTCTCCTTCATTGCTCTAGCACGCTCATTTTCTAGCTCCTTCTGCAGCCCAGCAATCTTCCGGTCTGCTTCATCATTTTCTTTGATCTGCTGGGCGCGCAGTTCTTCATTGCTGGTCATAGCCTCTTCAAACCGCTCGATGGCGACCGTGCAGGCATTTTGAGCATCTCCCAACTTTTTTTGCTCACCAGCCAGCTAGAACTCGAGCGACACTACCTTGCGGCGTTCGTCCTCTAGCTCTAACTTGACCGCGAGCAACTCAGCATGGGCTCGAGCGGCAACGTTGCGCTGCATGATCGCCAACACCTCCATCTTTTTCGCCTTCTGAGCTTCCCCCAACCCCCTGGCACACGTGCTCCGCGCAGCCCTCCTCCAACCCACGCTCTCCTTCTTGAAATTTTCAAGTTGGGCCTCTACCTGCCCCAACCTCTCCCTCTCCCTCTCCCTCCTCAATTCGCCCTTCGCCATTGCCACCTTATTCAACAGGGCTCCTACTAAGGCAGCCGCCACCATCTAGGCTAAGCACAACCCCTTCATCAGCTCAACCTCAGTATAACCAGCCACCGAGTGAACGGCTGCGTCTTTCACCACTCCCAAGAGGCGGTCTGCAGCCATCCTGGTCTCTCTCACTTCCCCTTCCACTCATCCAGACACTGCAGGGACATGGTAGAAGGCGGTCTTCAACCTAGACCTCCCTTTTTCTCCTTGGGGTGCCAGACCCTCCTGCGGTTGTGGCTCTTCCCTTGGCTCTACCCTTGGCTCAGCGCCGACCCCACCACTTTGCATTTGCTCCCCAAGGCCAGTCGCCCCACTTTCTGCCTCTTTGGCCACCCCTTCCAACCCCATTTCAGGGGTCCCCACTGCCTCCCCCGCCAGGGGCGTCGTCGCCTCATTCCTCATCTTCAAGGCAGGCTCCTCTTCACTCCTCCTCACTCTCCTCTTCTTCTTTACTACACCCTCCATCTCCTTGTAGGCTCTCTCCTTCAAAGGATCATCTGGGGCGGTCGTGTCTCAAATCCACCTAAGTCCTTTTCCCTAGGGGTTTGGGGGACGGTCGAATCCTCTCCCTCGTGATCGGCTTCGGCGGTCGGTTTGCCTGGGACTCTTTGAACTTACTGGCTTTGGCGAGGATGGTCATATCCTCAACCTCTTGCGTTTTCTTTCTCGCCTCTAACTCCGCCGGTCCCAGGTCTCCACCGATCGACTGAGGACCCAACCTTGCTGCAAACAAGGCTAACGACTGAACAAGCTTGTCCCATCTGGCGCCTCCTTCTCCTTACATTCCTTCACCTTCTTCACTCTCGCCTCTGCTGCTGCTCCCAATTTTGGCTCCACAGACTTGGTGGGCACTTTCCAAACTGTGTGCACTCTAACCCCTCCGTTGGCAGACACATAGAACCACCGTGGCCTCCACCCCTTTATCGATGACGGTAACCCCGCCACCAGCCCCTTCCTTGCCACCGTCTGCAAAGTGACCCAAGTCTCTTGCTGCCCCAACGCCTTGTAGTACGCAAAAAACTCATCCACCGTCATTTTAGCCCCCCCGTTTGCCTTCGACCACGCGCTCGCACATGCCAGCAAGATTTTTCACTCATTGGGCATCAGTTGGCCTAGAGCTACCTCCAACCGGTTCAACACCTCTACCACTATCTGGGGTAGGGGCAACCTCAAACCCCCCTTTAGCGCTTCCTCGTATAGGGCAAATTTCCCCGATCGAACATCAGATGCCCTCTCCTTTGATTCCGGTAGTCTCAACTCTATCTCTGCGGGAATCTGGTACTTCTCCCGCATACCCTCCAGCTTCTTCGTGGTAATGATCGACTTATCGGCCTTTGTGTGCCAGTGATCTGGCTCCACCTAGCTGATTGGCGTCGGTGTCGCCATCATTGTGGATGAACGAGGTCGCCCCGACGACTCCCCCCACTTCCCACTTGCCTCTCCGTCCTGTATTGCTCCGCCAAATCCACGGCATCGTCGTCCCCCAATGGATCAACCCTGGTGTTTGTAGCTTCTTCTTGGGCCATTTTTATGGTGTGTCTACGGATAGCTTCGGATGCGGGCGCAAGGAGATTCAAAAAATATCGCAAGGGTGTATCACTTGCAACGAAAGAATCTACACTCGGAGTGTTTTGATTTTTTGAAAAAAGATAGGTAAAACGTATAATACCAAAAGCCTAAGGCTTGCCTGTATTCCAGGGGTCACAATTAATTTTCGCTAGTTTGAAAAATTTTCAACCATCCACCAAGACTGTCTTTTCAACACCCATAATGACCTATCGTTTCACTTATGGCTCAACGCCTAACCTTTCCTACCACGTGATTCTGTCACGTGTACGGCCACGATTCACTGTCCCCTTCCCCCACCCTGTCTTTTCTACTTCAAGTCACCACGTGACCCGCCACCTCTCGAGCCCCGCACCCCGTCACCTCCCCCTTCGTGGTCACCCTCCTCATGGTCGGTCCCTCCACTCGGCTACTCTTCGCGGTCGGCCCTCCTCGTGGTCAGTCCCTCCACTCGGCTACCCTTCGCGGTCGGCCTCCTCGTGGTCGGTCCTTCCACTCGGTGACCCTCCGCGGTTGGCCCTTCTTATGGTTGGTCACTCCACTCGGCCACCCTTCACGGCCGGCCCTCCTCATGGTCGGTCTCTCCACTCGACGACCCTCCGCAGTCGGCCCTCCTCATGGTGGGTCCCTCCACTCGGTCACCCTTCACCCCGGCCCTCCTTATGGTCAGTCCCTCCACTCGGCCACCCGTCATAGTCAGCCCTTCTCATGGTCGGTCCATCCACTCAGTCACTCCTATCGGTTGGCCTCCATCCTGCCGCTCTCTAACAACCTTCATTTTCTTCATTATTCCCTTCGTTGAACTAAAGGTGCATATGAGAATGGGGGACTACTGACATGGGTAGGCCCATAAAGGCTACAACCCACTATGAACAACCCATGCCCACCACTTAGGGCCCAATACATAATCCAATTAATGAAGCCCAGCACTGCTGAAACCCCACATAGCAATAAGAACCAATGACATCAAGACACGTGGCGAGAGAAATGCAAGCCACATCAGCAAACAAAGATCTGTAAAGTTATTGCCACGACACATCACCGTTAATGACGCCCCTTTCAGCATTTATTGCGATAACTCCTCTCCGTCAGGACAGCACGCCCTCACCCTGAACAAGGTAAGCTACAGCATAGACTTTCGGCCAAGGTGACAGGTCGGAAGGGACAATGAAATGATTACCAGAGGATATAAGCAGACGTTGAAGATAAGAAGAAAGTTAAGCTTTTCTATCTCTAGTCAATCTCTACAATCCACTTCTCTTTCTAACTTGCTCGTTGGAGGGTTCGCTGAGGGACTCCCCGTTCCCGGTTCCCCGTTGAACACTTATGCAGGTTTCCCCGCGGGCTTGGTCATTCGGACATAGGCTTGAGGAGCGTAGATCAGTCCGACCTGTTCTATCAGCACGAATTGTATCATCAGTACATTTAAATTAGAATAATTTAAAACAATTACACAAATGAGTTTGCATCAAATGCATCTAATGCAAATGAAAGTTATTACTTTCACATAAAATTATTTTAAATTATTATCACTTACATACAAATTATCTTATAGTAATATATAATTTATTTGGTTATTTTCTGTTTTATTTTAATGTTTATTTTGTTTGGGGCTTGGATGGGGATGTGGGGTGGATAGAGATAATGGCCTGTCCTCTACTACCACCATATCATCACCTTTCTTTCACAGATTCTTGTTACATATAAGAGTGTCAATGATTCAACTCTTCTTTTAGCTTCTCTCTTCACTTGTTTCTATCATCTTTAATTCTTGGTGAATTATTGCTTCACTGTCTCCAACTCCAAAAGCTGGCTCACTTGAGAAGTCAAACCATGAACACCCACATAATTTATTGTGTGTTACCCTCCCACAAACTAGAATTTCTGTCAGATTCTCTATTAGAGAGCTATTGTTTGGGCTATTTATGCCTTTTTTTAAGTGTTGTTTGTGATTTGATGATAATTAAAATTTTGGGAATCTCTGTGTTTGGATGTCTTGGTCCATTTCTTTATCTGGGTTTTGTTTGGTAGCTAACAGGATAAACTCAAAATTCCATTCTGGTATTGGGAATTTGAAACCCTGGTGGATTCTTTGATTCTTCTTTTTGGGTGTTTGTGATTTTCTTATCTTCATTCCTTCTGGGTCTGTCTTGTTCTATTCTGATTGTGAAGCTAATTGGCTGGATAAGACAGCATCTTCTCTTTACCCTTCTTTTTAATCAACTTGTTTGTACTGAGTTTGTAGTTGGAGAGTAGTGGTGGGTTCATCTGCTTCCTTCTTCTACTTTCTTCTCTCAAGCTTTTTAGGAGTTTAGAGTGGGCAAGATGTTTGTAAATTTGACTGTGAGGGAGTTCATTTTTTTCCCTTGTATTTTTTTTTTTTCTTTTTCTGAAATTAGAAAGAAGTGAGACCTAGTTCAATCTGAGACTGGTCGAACTACTCTGGTTACTATTGTGGATGAGTTTTCTCCACTTAATAGGGTTTGGCTTGAAGTTTGGGCATGTACTGTTGATGCTATGTTGTTGGCTTGTCTCTATAATGTCAATGAATTGGTTCATTAATGGTGGTGTCAATGTCATGGACACCAAGACTGGTTTGATTGGTGATGGTGGTGTAAAGATTTTGCTGAATTTGTGGGAGAAGATCTCAGGGAACACTTGCAAGATCCACCATCACTACTACCAGTATGTTGGATCCAAGAGAGTGAGAAAAACATGGTGGTGTAAGCTTTTGGTGGCATGGTTAGTTTTCTGGGGTTTGTTTTCTTTGTGGGTCTTCTGGTACATGAATTCCCAAGCTATGGAGAAGAGGAAAGAGAATCTTGCAAGCATGTGTGATGAGAGAGCTAGGATGTTGCAAGATCAGTTTAATGTCAGTTTAAATCATGTACAGGCCATGTCCATTTTGATCTCAACTTTCCACCATGGCAAGAACCCATCAGCTATTGATCAGGTATAATTGGATCTGCCTTCATCTCTTTGAAGTTCATGATAGGAATCAGTAACGTCTAACAGGACACAAAAATAGAGAAGAACAAATGCATAGGAATTGTAAATCACGCACACACAAGAAGATAAGATTTACGTGGTTCATCTCAAAACTATAGATAGAGGGGCAACAGGTCACAAGCGTTGAAATTCCAAAAATATATTTACTCCAACAGTCAGATCCGCTGTTGAGTGTGGTTCAGTTCTTATCTGATCCACACTACTCCAACAGTTTAGGGTGCTAAATTGTATTGAAATTGAATATTTTCCCCTGTTGTGCTTAATTGCCTTTACTCACATTTGGGTTCTGTTATCTTATAATTAGATTTGAGCTATTCTGCTTCTGAATTCTTTAATTCTGAGTAATTTGGATATTACACCGCACAGCCATCTATTTTTTTCAATTCTGCAATATATTTGTTTGCAATGTAATTGGGTGTATTTATACTGAATGAAGTTCAACATGTTAATAATGGTGATTTAGCTTGATTTGGAACAAGATTCAACTTCTTTTTTCCTCTGATCTGTGATGTCCAGTCAACAAAGCAATCTAACCTTCTGAACCTATAGAGGACTTTTGCTAGGTACACAGAAAGAACTGCTTTTGAAAGGCCCCTAACAAGTGGTGTGGCATATGCTGTGAGGGTGCTGCAGTCTGAAAGGGAACAATTTGAGAAGCAGCAAGGCTGGACAATTAGGAGTATGGATACTCTCGAACAAACCCCGGTGCATGAGGACGAGTATAACCCAGAAGCCCTTGAACCGTCCCCAATAAAGGAGGAATATGCCCCTGTTATATTTGCTCAGGATACCATTTCGCATGTGATTTCCGTTGATGTGCTATCGGGAAAGGTGATTCTTTGTCTATTTTCTGCTTATTATTGGGATTAAGCAAATTCTGACCTTATACCACCTGATGTAGCCTAAAAGTTTCCTTTTCACATTCTTGAAATTCAAAATATGGTGATTCATTCAGATTCAATCTTTCAGAGCAGACTAATAGTTTTCATGTGAAAGCTGATTTTTTATAATCATACTTCGATTTGAAATTCTTAGTTAACACTCTTTTAATCATACTTGCCAAAAAGAAGAAGCATTCTATGAATAATAGTAAAGATAGAAAAGAGAAAGAAAAAGAAAGAAGAAGTTTGATGTAACTAACGATTTCTTAAAATAGTCAATCTTGAACTTGTGTACCAACAGGAAGATCGTGAAAATGTGCTGCGCGCAAGAGAATCAGGAAAAGGGGTTCTCACTGCTCCTTTCAGGTTACTCAAATCAAATCGCCTGGGAGTCATATTGACTTTTGCTGTCTACAAGACAGATCTCCCCTCAAATGCAACATCAAGTGAGAGGATTCAAGCAACTGATGGGTATGTTGTCTGCCCAAAAATCAAACTTATCATTAGCTCCTTAAGGGGGAATAGAGAAGAGAAGAAATAAATAAATATACAACGATGACAATTGTATAACTGATCCTATTCATAAAATAAATTGTATTTAAAAAATATAAAACAAATTTAGAGGTCATCGCAAAGTAAAATAGAATTAATTGAGTTGATGTACTGTCTTAGCTATAAATGATGAGTGCAGCTAGAAATTTCAGGATGGAGACAAGATTAGAAAGATTGAATTAGATAAGAACTTCATTTAATGTTTCACTACTGCCAAGCAGGTACCTTGGTGGAGTCTTCGATATCGAATCACTTGTGGAGAAGTTGCTTCAACAACTTGCAAGCAAACAAACCATACTTGTGAATGTGTATGATACCACCAACTTTTCGCACCCTATCAGCATGTATGGCTTGAATGTATCAAATGATAGGTTACAACATGTTAGCACACTTAACTTTGGTGATCCATTCAGAAAACATGAGATGCGTTGCAGGTGATCTATTTGATCCTATCTGTTACTGTATATTTGAGAGGGGTCAATGCGAGTTCTTAGATTGAGATTCAAAGTGATAAAATGGACTTACAACTAAGTTTGTTCTTGAAGCAGATTCAAACTAAAACCACCATGGCCATGGTTTGCGATGATGATTTCAATTGGTATCCTCGTAATTGCATTGCTTCTTGGGCATATAATCAACGCAACAGTGAATCGAATAGCCAAAGTTGAGGATGATTACCATGAGATGACGGAGCTCAAGAAACGAGCAGAGGCAGCTGATGTTGCTAAATCACAGGTATTTGATAGTTGTAGTTCATGTATTGAAATTTTGTTAGGCTTCACCTAATATGTCTACATGGTTCTAATTGAATTTCAATCCTCTGTAGTTCCTTGCTACTGTGTCCCATGAGATCAGAACCCCAATGAATGGTGTTCTCGGTAAGTTTTTGTTATTGTCCTTTATCATTTTAAGTCATTTAAATACATTGCTTTGGGGAAAACATTAAAAAATTATTTAAAAATAAACAAAGAAAGTGGGGTTGTTGAGTAATGTCTGTATATATGTTTATTCAACAGGAATGTTGCAGATGCTAATGGACACAGATCTGGATGTAACTCAACAAGACTATGTCAGAACTGCACAGGGCAGTGGAAGAGCGCTGGTTTCACTAATAAATGAGCTTTTGGACCAAGCAAAGATTGAATCTGGTAAGCTCGAGCTTGAGACAGTTCAATTTGATCTGCGGGAAATTTTGGATGATGTGTTGTCACTTTTTTCTGGGAAGTCTCAAGAAAAAGGAGTGGAGGTAGGCGATATATCTTACTTCTTGTTTTATCCAGTGCCCTAAAATTTAACCATCTTATATATAATTAATTTGCTTCTGTTTTTGAATTTCTCGGGAGAGCAGCTTGCAGTTTACATTTCTGATAAGGTTCCTGAGATGCTAATTGGTGATCCAGGTAGATTTCGGCAAATCATCACAAATCTTATGGGCAATTCAATCAAAGTAAGTATTCAACAGCTTCTAAAATCTTGAATATACAGGGAGACAATTAGGGCATTAAAAAGTTAAATTCTGTTTGCAATCAATCAAGAGAAAAAAGAAAAAGGGAAAGGGAAACATGGTCATGGGAATCTATTCATTCTCTATTCTCTCTAAAGAAAAAATTAATTTTGTTATTTTGAATGTATTCACTCAAGAAGGCATTACACGGGAATCTATTCAGGGACTTTTTTTTTATAAAAAAAAAGAAAAAAAGAAGCAAAAGTGATTGATCCTTCCATTAGTGGAGGGAAGTGTAAAATAATCTGTCTAGACTGAAGTGCATATTGTAGAGTCATCCAGGGAAAACTTGTGGTCTCATGAAATGTGATATTATAGGCATACAGTATTATTACAAATTTAAGTAAAAAGATAGATGTCACTTTTAAATTACCGATTTTTTTACCGACATGCGTGTAGTTGGAAAAAAATTGGTAGATTTGTAGGGATCTGTAGCAAATTTGTAAATTTAACGTTGTACATGCATGCAATAAGAAACGTTTTTCATATGCTTTTTTCCTGCAACCAGCTTTGAAACTGAGAGATGTACTATTTTTTGGCAGTTTACTGAGAAAGGGCACATTTTTGTGACAGTCCGTCTTGTTGAGGAGGTGATAGAATCCATAGAAGTTGAAACAGAATCATCATCCAAGAACACCTTGAGTGGGTTACCTGCAGCAAATGCATGCAAGAGCTGGGCAGGATTTAGAACTTTCAGTCAAGATCGACCTCCTTGTCCTCTCTCATCATTGTCTTCCGACCTCATCAATGTAATTGTATCAGTAGAGGACACAGGTGTAGGGATCCCATTAGAAGCCCAACCACGTGTATTCACTCCCTTCATGCAAGTGGGCCCCTCAATCTCCCGAATACATGGGGGCACGGGGATTGGGTTGAGCATAAGCAAGTGTTTAGTCGGACTCATGAATGGTGAAATTGGGTTTGCAAGTTTACCCCGAATTGGGTCCACTTTTACTTTCACCGCTGTATTCACCAATTGTTGTTCCAATAGCAGTCAGCTTAAGGACCCGCAAATCAGCAACCAGTGTAACTCTGCTATTTCAGAATTTCGGGGCATGACAGCTTTGGTTGTGGACCCCAGAGAAGTCCGGGCCAAGGTATCCAGATATCACATCCAACGTCTTGGAATTCAAGTTGAAGTTGCTCTTGATTTGAATCAATGTTTCTCAAGCATAGGCCGTGAAAATACAGTTACTGACATGGTCCTAATAGAACAGGAAGTTTGGGATAAAGACATGGGTCTATCAGCTCTTTTTATTGATGAATTAAGAAAATTTGATAGTGCCTCGCCTCCAAAATTGTTTATTTTATCTAACTCAATCAGCTCTACCCGAAGTAGTTTTGCAAGTTCTGGTATTTATGCTCCAACTGTCATCATGAAGCCCCTGAGAGCAAGTATGTTGGCTGCATCGCTACAACGAGCCATGGGGGTCGGGAACAAAGGGAATCGCTGCAATGCAGAGATCTCTGGTCTCGATAATCTGCTTCACGGGAGAAAAATCTTAGTCGTAGATGACAATAATACAAACCGCATAGTAGCTGCTGGTGCCTTAAAAAAATATGGAGCCGAAGTGGTTTGTGCACATGGTGGAAAAGAGGCAATCTCATTGCTAAAGCCACCACACAAATTCGATGCCTGCTTTATGGACATTCAGATGCCAGAAATGGATGGGTATGCATCATATTATCAATTTTAAAGCTTATGTTTTCTAGAATATAAGAGCTAGTGGACTAATTCTTCAATTTCGTTAAGGAATTTCAAAATATACTTGTGCTGCGTTTGTTCAAGCGGAAAATATTTTTTGTAGAAAATGTTTTCTTATGCTTGGTTGCTACCTTGAAACTTATATACTAGTTGTTATATTAATGGTGGTGGTGGGGTGGTGAGGTGATGGTGTGGTAGTGGTTAGGAGAGGGGTGGAGGTGGTGGTGGTGTGGGGACATTGATGGTGGGTGGTGTCAGCGGTGGAGTTCTGTCTAAATAAGCTTGTTTTCCATTGAGTTTCATTTTCTCTGGTATGAAAATGTTAGAAACTGTAGAAAACATTTTCCGCCGAAACAAACTGAACATTATATTTGTAGCAATTACTCAGGTTACCTTGTATGTGTTAATAGCTATTTGCTAATTTGCATCGGTTTATTCATTAACAACCTCTTTTTAGAGTCTATAATCAGTTTTTGTTCTTGTTCTCTTCTTCTTCTTCTTCTACTTCTTTTTTTTTTTTTTTTCTTTTCCCCTAGTGATTCTTATCCCAAATGTAAATATTTTAAAGACTTGACAACTGACTATCCTCCTTCCTTGCAGGTTTGAAGCTACAAAAAGAATTCGAGACATGGAATGCAACATCAATGGTCGCATCCAACATGGAGAACCATCAGTGGAAGGTTATGAAAATGTTTCTGATTGGCACGTGCCAATTTTGGCTATGACCGCGGACGTAATTCAGGCTACACACGAAGAGTGCATAAGTTGTGGAATGGATGGATATGTTTCGAAACCATTTGAAGCCGAACAACTTTATCGTGAAGTTTCACACTTTTTCAATACTGCACCAGATCAGAACTCATAGCAAGGACTTGCTAGTGAAAAATGACATAAGCACAAGGTGCTGTTCTTTGCGGTTTAGAATGCTAAAGGGGGTTTGAGTTTCTTTGCCAATGGTGAGTTTTGAATTTTTTAAAGGCTTGATTGCTTCTTGTAACCTATCCCACTTTGGAAAATAAAATTTTCACTAGTAATGTAATTCTAGTACGCATTTCAGTTAATTTTGCGCTGTTTTGCTGAGTTTTTGCAATTGTTTCTTACGGTCTATATATAGGCCTAAAATTTGCATTGCTGACTTACCCTTATGCGGCCGTGTTTCAGGAAAATTGTTTGTTTCAGAGACTGTGCATACATACAAGCAATGCCTAATTCTTTTTCCCCTGTATCGTTAATCTTGTCTCCTTACCATTGGGAGGAGACTACAAAGGCTCGGGACAGTTCTCTGGACTTTGGTGGTACCATAGAAACTCGGGGTTTGCATTCTCCTCTCTATCTAAGAACACAAGGTCGCTATTATTCGCAGAGACTTCACTCTTCTCTGTTTCACCCTTGGGAGAATCTGCATTTTGTATCATAGAGATTGATTTTAGTGGATAGAACGAAACATAGCGTCTTAGCAGCAGAAAGGTATGGATTGTGTATGTTACTCGAATAAAAATGAAAATGTATTATGTATTCACTGTAGACCATTTTTCTCATTGGTGTTGTTCTGAACAGTGACAATTTTTAAGTTTTTTCCACTAAGAACTGATGTAATTATCACAGCATTCTAATTTTGAGAAATTTCACACATTTTGGCTGGATTTGTATCGCTCATTGTGACCTTTGTTTCTGCTGTATTGTGAGTTGTGACCTAATTCAAAGTGTGTTTTCCCAGAATGTTGGGGAACGGTTAAATCAATTTGCAGAAACTTCTTTCTGACAGTACAATTTTTGAGAATTACCGGTCACCAGTAGGTTAAAGGGGCTGGGGGCTGAACTCGAATGGGCTGTGAAATTTTCTGTTTGTGATTTGTCTGATATGCTGACCCATAAGTTGAACAATTCTACTGGTTTGGTAAGGACCAAATTCTGAAATCGAAGTGGCTGGAATAGTATGAAGCTTTGGTCTCATGAATCATAGTTGAGCTGGGTTTTGTACAGAATCAAACTACTCGAACTCGGCTCGTAACAAGTTCGTTTGAGATTGACTTATTATATACACAAATCAAATTTGAAATAACTTAAAATTCATTAATTTTTCAAGTCAAAATTAAACAAATTATTACTTGATAAGCTTATAGGCATTTTTTTTTTTTGAGAACACTTATAGGCTTTATAAAACCTAAAGCCCAGTTTGATAAAATTCATTTGAGATTGAATTGAAAGAGAAACAAATCAAACTCGAGCACATTAGTTTTCCACAGTAGTGGACTTTTACTCAAACCTAATGCTCTTCAATCCAAAATTTTAAACCAATCGGAGGCTAATTAATTAATGCCTTAGATTCCCAGCAAAAATAAAAAATTAATTTCTTAGAAAGCTTTATAGCTTCTTGTCTTATTTGAAACAAAAAGAAGCAAAATGTCGATATGTCCGAGTGGTTAAGGAGACAGACTTGAAATCTGTTGGGCTTCGCCCGCGCAGGTTCGAACCCTGCTGTCGACGGTTTTTATATTCCTATTGAAAATAATTTTTTTTATTCTTCTTTACAAATCCTAAAATTTGAATCTTGCAACAAAATAAATCTCGATTTTATTTTCATATTGAAAATATTTTTTTATTCTTCTTTACTTTGGCACAAAAGAAATCCTAAAATTTGAGTCTTCCAACAAAATAAATCTCAAAATTTTAATTTTATTAATTTAAATTCTAATTTTTTGATTTCTTGTTTTCAATTTAAACAATTTATCTACTTTTGTTGATTAAAACTAATATAAATATATATATTTTAGTTATTAAGCTAAATGAAAAATTATATTTTAGACATCCGATACACTTACATTGAGTATAATGACTAAAATATCATTCTTTTTCATCAATTTTTACTTAATAGAAATAAACAAATGATTTAAATTGAAATTAAATCAAAAGATTATAATTTAAATAAACAAAATTAAAAATTTAAGATTTATTTTGTTATAGTATTCAAATTCTAGATTTTTTTTAAAAATTTAATTTTTCATTTTTTAGATTTTTTATTTTTTATTTTTTTAACTTAGCAAATAACTTTTTGGTAATGTGAAAAATATTGTTGTAAATTCCGTAGTACATAGTCTAACTGAATGTAACACTACAAAAATCATCTTATTACACTTCTCATTTTCAAACCTTATAAATTTAAATTTCTAATTTCTCAACCCACTCGCCCCCCTTCCCCACCAACCTACCATTATATCGTTTCCTTTTTGCCATCTCACTCTATTCTGTCGACCACCATTAACACTCTTCAACCCCTTTCTTTCCTACTTTGCTCCCCCACCTTTTTCAATCCCTTCCTCGTCACCCATTTCTAACCCCATCTCCGCTCTTTTTCACATTTTTTCCTCCCCTCGCCCCTCATGTCTTCCCTTATTCCCATCTATTGCTCTTCTTTTCACCCCTTTCCAAATTTTGAAAATTCTAATTTCTTAAGACCTTAGAAAGTGCTCTCTCTCTGTCTCTCTCTCTCCCCTTACCTATGCAAAAGTGAGTTGAAATGATGTAGGAGGGTCGCAGACTTGCAGGAAAGGGGAAAGGACTGGGGCTGGTGGTTAGAAAGTGAATCAAGTAACAGTCAAGGTGATTGTTGGAATGATCGTAGAGTTGGGGCTTAGAATGTTAAAGATGTAAATAGAAGATGAGAGGTGAGGAATGAAAGTGTGCTTGGAATTAGGGGTGCAATTCGGGCGGGCTCAACCCGAGCAATCCGAGCCCAGCCTGAGTTTTTTTAGGGCTTGGGCAACTATATCTTGCAATCTGGACGGGCTTGGGCAAAATTTTGATGCCCGAATTGCAATTCGGGCCGGGCTTGGGCAGAACTAATGGCCAACCCGAGCAACCCGAACCCGAATTGAATTTAATATATTATATAAATTATATAATATATAATATATAATATATACATAATTTAATAAATTATATAAGATTGTTGGAATGAGCGTAGAGTTGGGGCTTAGAATGTTAAAGGTGTAAATAGAAGATGAGAGGTGAGGAATGAAAGTGTGCTTGGAATTATCAAGAGTGTAATAAGAAAAATAAATTTTTTTAAAAAAATATAATTAAAAATTTAAAAGTGATTGTAACAAGTTAAATTTGTTATGTAAATAAAAACTCCCATCTTAATTTAAAATAAACGGATCTTAAAAGACTACATAAAGTTTTTTAACAAAAAAAAAGAAAAATAAATAAATTACTTTTCTCTCTCTCTTGCGAATTTTACCTATTGTGCAAAAAATGAAACGTTAAGTAACGTATGGTAACGCTTTTGATTTATATTTATAAAAATTTTATAAACTGTTTTTTTGTTAATTTTAGGAAAAATATAAATTATAAATGAGTTTGGTTTAAACAAAATATTTGAAAATTTTAAAAATATAAACTAAAAAATACGTTTCTTCATACCTAAAATATTTATATTTATTTTTTATTATTTCTGACAATAGGATCATACACATTATAATTAAAAAAAAATTGTTAGTTAAATTTTTAAATTTCTGTTTAAAAACCAATGTAAACTCGTTTTTTCAGTTTACGTTTTTTCTTCAAATTTATAAACTGAACAACCATTTATAAATCAAAAAAATTATCAAACAAGTTTTTATAACAATTTTTAAAATATTTGTAAATATAAATTAAAAACTAAAAACAAAATGGTTACTAAACAAGTCCTAAACTTTTATTCCATATGTGATGGGAGCCCTCGGTTTAGGTTGGTTTGTATTCCTTAACGTTGTGTTTGGTTGAAAGATTTGGTAAGAAATTTGGAAAGAAAAAGAAAAAAAATGTGTAAAATTAAGTAAAATATAAATATATTTTGTTCATATTCTACTTATTTTTTTTTTCCTTTCTAAATTTCTTTTCAAATTTTTTAACCAAACACATTATTACTGTATTATTGTTACGCGGAAAACGAAATCATAAAATGGCATCGCATGACGTCGGGCATTCTTATAATACCCAAATCCTCTCACAATCTCTTATGAATTTTACGGAACAACTGCGAGGGACAATGGGAGATTTGGGTGGAACAACAAAGGACAGTGACATTGTGTGAGAGATTGATGACAGATAAACAAAGTGCTTGGACAGCTGGACAACTATACAAACAAAATAAAGAACATAGGACCACATTTGTCTCCATTATACAAATCACAAACAATCATATATTTACATAAAAAGAAATCAAATCTTTAATGAACAAAACCCATATTTTAAAAACAAATGCTTATTACATTAATTTAACACAAATAAAATGCATATTAAAATTTAGCCAATAATAGCAGGTGCTCATACAGTTCATCGTATCTATAACTTTCTTTTCAATCTCTCACAACTTAGCGCTCTCTCTTTAGTTTCACTCAAAATCTCTATCTCTCTCTCTCCCTTCCTTCGTGATACCGTTCTATGATTTCTTTTCCTGTACAATAATTGATTCGTTAAGTGGCACAAATAGACACATACGTTTTCATTGCATACAGAATAAAAATTTAGAATTTAAAACGATAAAACTAAAGCTGAATGTTAGGGGTTTAAAGAGACATAAGTTAGAAATGAAAGTATGTTTAGAATTGTAGAGTGTAACAACATAAAATAAAATAAAATTTTTCATTATAAATATAATTAGAAAATGAGTGTAATTTGTTGCATGAATAAAGTGTAACGGTACGAATATTAAGGGGTTGTTTGGGATAGTTTAAATAAATGTCTTTTTACGAAAAGATGTGTAAAAAAGTAGAGAGGTGATGTGATAAAAAAAAGATAAAAAGATGAATTATTTGAGACTTTCCAAACTTGACCTAAATTTTTTATCAAATAAATAATTACATATTTTATATAAATCATAATTTTGCAAACCCCACAAATAGAAGATATTTAATTATTTATTTAATAAAAAATTTAGCACCGATAGCACTTTCTTAAATAAAAACTCCAATCTTAACTTTAAAACAGAGAAAGAAAGAAAGGGGAAGATTTTTCGAAGGACTATAAGCCAAGTGAGAGTGAGGGAGAGAGAGGGAGAGAGAGGATCAGGTGCGGGTGCGGCGGCGATGGATCCAGACGCGGTGGCGAAGGCATTCGTGGAGCACTACTATTCGACCTTTGATGCGAATCGATCTGGACTAGCGAACCTCTACCATGAATCATCGATGCTGACTTTCGAAGGTCAGAAGATCCAAGGGTCCCAAGGCATCGTAGCCAAGCTCACCAGCCTTCCCTTTCAGCAGTGCCAGCACAGCATCACCACCGTCGATTGCCAGCCCTCTGGCCCTGCCGGCGGCATGCTCGTCTTCGTCAGCGGCAACCTCCAACTCGTCGGCGAACAGCACGCTCTCAAGTTCAGCCAGGTACGTCTTTTTTATATTCATGTTTTGATTGGTGAAATTGCTTGAAGATCACTGTTGTTTTATGTCTACTTTAGATTTCTACTGACTGATCTGATTTTGATTGTTTCAATAACTTATTTGTGTATTTATATGGATTTTTGATGATTTGAAGTGCTTTTTTTTTTTCTTTGATTTTATTGTGCAAATGCGTATTAGATTACATGTTGATGCGATGTTGGTGAAATTACTTGAAGATTGGTTGATCCTTTACTGTTTTTTATGTGATGCTTTGGATTTCTACTGACTGATCTGATTTTGATTGATTCGAGAAATTATTTCTGTATGTGGTTATATAGATTTGTGATGATTTGCAGTGCGTTTTTATTTTTTTATTTTGGGATTTGATTGTGTGAATGCTTATTAGATTACATGTTGATGCGATGTTCTCAAGCTGGAGTACTGACTGTAACTCTTCATTAACTTGAAATCAGAATTGGAAAATTAAATTTAGTAAAATCTACGTATATATGTGTGTATAACATGTGGATTTTGTTCGTACGTGTTTATGTTCATGTTGTATTGTTCTTACGGTGAAATTACTTGAAGATTGGTTCATCCTTTGTGGTTCTATGGACTGATCTTGAGTTTGATTTATTCGTTCACTTATGTATGTACGTGGTTATATGGATTTTGAATGATTTGGTTTTTTTTTTTTAGGACTTGTTTGTCCAAATGCTTATTAGGATTATTTCTTTACTTGAGATCAGAATTGGAATATCAATTGTGGTTTAGTTATAGATGTTTTGGTTTAATTTATTGATCAATGCATTTTTATCATAATTCAACTTTGATTTGAAGAAGAAGAAGAAGAGATAGTATAGAGAATAATTTTTTTTTTTTTAAATATATTTTTGCAAGTTGAAATAAAGAGTAGTTTTGGAGATGCTTATGATATTTATCGACAAAGTTTTAAGTTGGAGAGTGGTATTCTCTTCCCACCTCGAATAAAGAAGTAAAAGTAAAGGGTTAATCCATTTAAACATTGTTTAATGTAGGAATTTGATTTTGGTTTGTTGTCCTCCCTCTTTTGGTTTGCGGAGGGGACTGATATCATTTACTTGATTTTGGCAACTTTGTTAATTTGTATGTTTGTTGGAGTCATTGTAGCCTGGTTGTGTTAAGTTAAGATATACTATTGAGATGTTGCATTTCAAAAGATTACTTTCTTGCTTTACAATATTAAACCATAGCCAACGTTGCATCAAATCTTTCATCAAATTTAAATTTGATGAAAAACGCCTCCAAGTTGAGCTCCAACCATCAAACTGATATCAACTGAAGGGAGAACCAAATCTTTCACAAAATCAAGAGAGCCTTTATCATTTCATCAAATTTTGCAGGTGGCCGTTGGTGGACGACCTGCCGAACAAAGTGCTTGTCAACCGGATTTTGGGATGAATTGGGAATTTTGTAAAAAGATTTGATGAAAATTTACTATAGGCCGGACAACCGACCGAATTTGATGAAGCTATTGGAGTGCGTCATATCATATCAAATTTTTATTCAAATTTGATGAAGCGTTGGAGATGCTCTTAGGGATGCCTTTGTTTTCATTTCATATGCATCAATTGCATTGTCTTGACTAGACTCTTCATTCTGTATTGATATGCTGAATCTCGTGTAAAATCTAATAGCATAACTATGCCTGCAGATGTTGTTGATATGTTGATTAGTGCTGATTAGCCTTTCTCAATCCTCAAGCTAGCCTACAATCTCTTCTATGTAAATTATAATGGAGTGTGCTTTCGTATGCATGTTGCTTTATCTTCTTTTTTATTTTTATTTTTCTTGGTTTCTTTTTTACTTTTCTTATTCTTATGTTTAATTGGAAATTTTAACTTAGATTATTTTCAATTGGCTGTGTTAAATTATTATTTATGCTATTCTCATCAAAATTCATTTTCATCCATTTTGGGTCCAGATGTTCCATCTGATGCCAACGCCACAAGGTAGTTTCTACGTGTTGAATGACATTTTCCGATTGAACTATGCATGAAGACAGTGGATGGTTTAGTTACAAACAGTGGAGAATCCATGATATGCTAAATGCCCTCAAACAAATTCGCTTCATATTGTTTATTTTCGGACTTTTTTATTTTATTTTATATTTTCAAATGAAAAACTGGGGATCCTCTCTCATTGTGGTTGGTTATGTTCTGTAATTTGTCGTGTCTTTTATTATTCTATCCTCCATACTTCAGAGATTGCTTTGTTTAATAGGATGAATTGATGGAAGAGTTTTTTTTTTCCCCTTGATTTTTTGTTCATGATTGGATTGATGCTTGAACATTATGTTCATTACTTGTATTTAAAGAAATGCATGGGGAAATGTACAAAGTGTGAGCACCCCTCTATATCATGTATTGTATTTTGGAGTGTGATTTTGTCCAATTTAATAAATTCAGAGTTGTTTTCGCATCACGTGCTTCTTTATGCTTGTCCTTGTTAATAGTTTATGTTACTCCAGGGTGCTGTTGACAGTAAAATTGATTGGGTGCATACTAGACTTTGCCATGAACCTACTACACACTTGGCATTTGTTTCAAACATAAAAACCCTAGAATATCCTCAGTCCTTATTACTGCCCAAATGGGGCAGCTCTGCAATTTTGAGGGGAGGGAGAGAAGGGCCATCAACCTGCTGTTGCTTTGAAGAGGACTTTTTCGCTCCATTTTGATCACTTACAACAGGCCCTTTGAGCATTCCTGTGAGCATGCTACCAAAGGATTTAAAAGCGTGGTTCAATCCATCTTGAAGTTTCAGAACAAGAGAGACCTTGGATAGCTGCCACGCTACGGTAAGGACAATCATGGCTGAAAGGAGGCAATGAGTGATAAAATTCTGTCTTTTAATCTCCCTAAGCTCTCTGACTATCTCTTCTCCTCCACTGTCGTTGTCGTCATCACTGCCACCATCTGCCTCATTGGCAATCTCAGTTATTGATTAGCCAACCGTGGGGGAAGGTAGCTCCTTTGAATCTGCTGGTGGGTCAGGCTGCTTAATAAGTTTGCCGTCATCCCCTCTTAATGTTTCCAACTGTAACAAATTATTGAATCAATCGTGGCTCCAATTTTATTATAATGGAATCTAAAATATGGGGCCAAAAAATAAAAAAGGATAAATGAATCTACTACTTCGGATAGAGGGCACACGGTTCTTTATCCTACAGTATTTTTGTGCCTCTTTTTTTTAAAAATGGATGCCAATTCATTAGTGATGGTTTAGAATACGACTTTTAGTGGTCTCTATCATTGCTGTTCTTAGATTATCATTTTTTGTTTTTCGGTTTTTTTGTTTTTTTGTTTCTTTAACAATTATCTCTACAAATCCAAACCCCCTCCCCCCCTCCAAAAAAAAATCATAACGTTGTGTTTGGTTGGGGATTTGGGAAGGAATTTAAAAAAAAAAATGAAAAAATAGGTAAAATGTGAATGAAAAATACTTACATTTTACTTCGTTTGGGAGATTTGAGAAGAAATTTGAAAAGGAAAAAAAAAAAAAAGTGAAATGTGAATAAAATATTTTTTTCTCTTTTTTTCAAATTTTTTCTCAAATCTCTCAACCAAACACAGGTCAAACATGCAAATAGATTGAATAAAATTCTATGTGCAATCAGCAAATCTCCTTTTTCAGATGCAACAAAATTCAAATTTAAAATCCTAGCGTGAAACAAGAAAAAACTAATACATCTTATCTGAGGTTTTTCAACCACATAATCAATTACCTGAGAAAGCAATTCAGAGAGGACAAAGCTGCTCTCTTCTGAAGCTATTGGAGTGCGTCATATCATATCAAATTTTTATTCAAATTTGATGAAGCGTTGGAGATGCTCTTAGGGATGCCTTTGTTTTCATTTCATATGCATCAATTGCATTGTCTTGACTTTTTTTTTTTTTTGTGTGTGTGTGTGGCAATTATAGTTCGATCAATTGATCGTTTGGCGTTTCAACCTGAAACAAAGAGATTCGATTTCACATTCAAGTGAAGTGAAAAGGCTTCCATGCACTTAAACCATCTTTCCATGAAATCGTGGCAAATTATCCATATTCTCCAATTTTGGACCACATAAAACTATCACACTCGAAATTGGAGAATACCCTTGATTTAAAAGTCACCATCTTGTATTCTTTCCCACAAAGCCAAACCCACAATTTTCTCGGGAAAATATGAACTGTACACGTGACCATACGCTGGTGTTTTGTAGTTTGTTTATTATTATTTTTTTGAGGAAACATATAAGCATATAATCCATTATTATTGAGTGAACACACATTCAATAATATTCTGAAAAACAGAATAATTATTGGTATGTAGGTTGATTTCATTTTGAGTAACCAATAAATCACACTACTGTGCCATTGTTCCTCCAAACCATGGTAAGTATCCAAATAACTAGGGAAGAGAGAGAGAGAGACAACTGTGGTTCCAGCCCAGTTGAACCCATCAATTACCATTTACAAGAAGCGTGCAAGTATATATCCAAGGACTTTGAGTGATTATTAACAACCATCTACAATGGCTAAAATTCAAACCACAATATACAGACTGAATCAAAAGATATCTATAGCGGCTTCTGTCCAAAAAAAAAACAGAAATAAATTCCAAAACGACGTCGTGTGCGGCCGAGGATCCGGACTCGTGTAAATAGAGGCACTCGAGAGTGAGAGAGACAGAGGCTCAGGTGCGGCGACGATGGATCCAGACGCGGTGGCGAAGGCATTCGTGGAGCACTACTATTCGACCTTCGATGCGAATCGATCTGGACTAGCGAACCTCTACTGTGAATCATCGATGATGACTTTCGAAGGTCAGAAAGGGTCCCAAGGCATCGTAGCCAAGCTCACAAGCCTTCCCTTCCAGCAGTGCAAGCACAGCATCACCACCGTCGATTGCCAGCCCACTGGCCCCGCCGGCGGCATGCTCGTCTTCGTCAGCGGCAACCTCCAACTCGTCGGCGAACAGCGCGCTCTCAAGTTCAGCCAGGTACGTCTTTTTTATATTCATGTTTTGATCGGTGAAATTGCTTGAAGATCACTGTTTTTTTATGTCTACTTTGAATTTCTACTGACTGATCTGATTTTGATTGTTTCAATAACTTATTTGTGTATTTATATGGATTTTTGATGATTTGAAGTTCTTTTTTTTTTTGGATTTTATTGTGCAAATGCTTATTAGATTACATGTTGATGCGATGTTGGTGAAATTACTTGAAGATTGGTTGATCCTTTACTGTTTTTTATGTGATGGTTTGGATTTCTACTGACAGATCTAATTTTGATTGATTCGAGAACTTATTTCTATATGTGGTTATATGCGTTGTTGTTTTTTTTTTTTTTTTTTTTTTTTTTTTTTTTGGGGGGGGGGGGAAGTTCTTTTTTTTTTTGGATATGATTGTGTAATTGCTTATTAGATTACATGTTGAGGCGATGTACTCAAGCTGGAGTACTGACTTTAATTCTTCATTAACTTGAAATCAGAATTGGAAAATTAAATTTAGGCTTGGTTTAGGATGATTTAAATAAACACATTTTTTAACTTTTTACGAAAAAATGTGCAGAAAAGTAGAGAGGTGATGTGATGAAAAAAAGATAAAAAGATAAAAAGTGTGTACTTATTAGTACACCCCAAACAAGGCTTAGTAAAATCTACGTATATATGTGTGTATAACATGTGAATTTTGTTTGTACATGTTATATTCATGTTGTATTGTTCTTACGGTGAAATTACTTGAAGATTGGTTCATCCTTCGTGGTTCTATGGACTGATCTTGAGTTTGATTTATTTGATCACTTATTTATGCACATGTTTATATAGATTTTGAATGATTTGATTTTTTTTTTTTTTTTTGGACTTGTTTGTCCAAATGCTTATTAGGATTATTTCTTTACTTGAAATCAGAATTGAAATATCAATTGAGGTTTAGTTTGATACAAACAATAGACCAATAAAATGTTTTTCAGAATAGCAATAAGAAACAGAGGATGTATATATAAAGTAAAGGATAAACTTTTCTACATTTTTATTGATAAAGAAACAGCCTATAAATAGGCTAATACATAACTAATGGCAACATGAAAATAGGCACTACCCATAACTGAAAGTAACATGAACATAGGCATTATCCCACATTAACAACAAACTCCTATGACTAGATAAACGGTTAAACAAGCTCCCTAAAGGCTAGGACAACCCATGTGCAAATTATTAAATTTCCTCAACAATCCCTCCTTAGAGTTAAGCTTTGAACTGAAGCTCCATCCCTCAAATTGAAACATTTGAAGTACAAACACCAAGTAGCTTCCTGAGCTTCTGAAATGCAGGAAACTTGAGAGGCTTGGTTAGAATATCAACGATCTGGTCTTCACTTTGCAGTAAATGAGATTAATGACTCCATCATTCGTGAGATCCCTCAAGAAATGATACTTCATATGTTTGCTTCGACCATGTAAAACTGGATTTTTTGAAAGCTTTATTGCTGAACTGTTGTCACAATAAATCTGAGTAGGTCCATCCTCCTTGAAATTCAGCTCTTTAATGATTTTCTTTAGCCAAATAGCTTGATAAGCACAAGCTGTTGCAGCAACAAATTCAGCTTCAGTGGATGATAATGTGACAATAGGTTGCTTCTTTGATGATCATGAAATAGCTCCTGTCCCCATCATGAAAACATACCCAGATGTGCTTTTCCGATCATCTGAATCTCCTGCATAATCACTATCTGTAAAGCCAAACAGACCTAACTTTTCTCCATTCTTGTAGAACAGCCCAAACTCCTTGGTACCTTGCAAGTACCGGAAAATTCTTTTTGCAGCCAAGAGATGAGTCTTTGTAGGACATTCCATGTACCTGCTAATCACACTTACAGCATGCATTATATCAGGTCTTGTTGCCGTCAAATACATTAAACTCCCCACCATTTGTTTGTAAAGAGTGTCGTCAACCTTGTTTCCTCCATAATCTTTGTTTAGCTTCGTACCAATTTCAGATGGTGTATTTACAGGATTACAATCCTTCATCTGAAACCTGTCTAAGATTTCTCACACATACTTCTTTTGAGAAATAAAAATTCCAGTAGAAGACTGCGCCACTTCAATGCCAAGAAAATAATGCATCATGCCAAGATCAGACATCTCAAATTCAGCCATCATGGATTTCTTAAAACTTCCAAACATGGTTGTATTATTTCCAGTGTAGATTAAATCATCTACATATAAGCAAACAATGAGCATTTTCCCTCTATGCTCGACTTTTATGAAAAGTGTATGTTCATAAGGACATTTTTGAAATCTTTCTTTCAAAAAATAAGTTTCTATATGATTACACCAAGCCCGCGGGGCTTGTTTTAATCCATATAGAGCCTTCTTTAGTCTATACACTTTATGCTCATTTCCAGATTTCACATAACCAGAAGGTTGATTGATAAATACCAGTTCCTTCAAGTCTCCATGGAGAAACGCCGACTTCATGCCTAGCTGGAAGATAGGCCATGAGTTCTGAGCTACCAATGCAATCACCAATCTGATTGTGTCATGCCTTGCAACTGGGGCAAAGACTTCTTTATAATCGACACCGAACTCTTGCTTATAGCCCTTGGCCACCAAGCGTGCCTTATACTTGTCAACTTCACCATTCTCTTTCAGCTTTGTCTTGTAAACCCACTTCACACCAATTGTTTTGTGCCCTTTTGGTAGATTAGATAACTCCCAAGTGTTATTCTTTTCAATGGCTGCAATTTCAGCATCCATAGCCTTTCGCCATTTTGATTCTTTGACAGCACTTTCAAACACTGTAGGATCACAGTCTAAAAATAGAGCAAAATGAGTGAGTGGGTCTTCAGATTGATCAATTCCGGTTACCTCATAATCTGACATCCATGCTGGCCTCCTTCGAACACGATGAGAAATTGATTCAGCTGCTGCTTCTGGTGCAGTTGGAGTGACTTCAGAGGCTACAGGAGTTCCATTTTGAGGATTCTCAAGTGCATCAGATGCTGGAGCAAGTTGTTGCTGCGGCTGGTTTGCTTCAATCACCATCTTCTCCATCAAAACTAGTTGGAATTGGCTCTCCAATTACATTTTTGTTCACTTCCCAGATTTGATCTTCGTCAAAAACGACGTCTCGACTGATAGTTATCTTCTTAGTGTTAGGATTGTAAAGCTTATAAGCTTTTGACTGATTACTAACAAGAAGAAAAATACATTTTTCTACCTTGTCATCCAGCTTCTTCCTCTTCTGATCTGGAATATGGGCATATGCAACACACTCAAAAATCCGAAAATGATCTACAGCAGGTTTTCTTCCGCTCCATGCTTCCTCCGGTGTCATATTTTGAACAGCGAGTGTGGGACTTCTGTTCAATATATGAATGCTCCAATTAACTGCTTCAGGCCAGAAACTTTTTTGAATGCCACTTGTTGTCAAAAGGCTTCGCACCATATTCATAATAGTGCGGTTCTTCCTCTCGCATACACCATTCTGTTGGGGTATATAAGCTGCTGTAAGTTGTCTCTTGATACCATGGTTCTCACAAAAATTTGCAAATTCATATGAGTTATATTCTCCACCGCGATCCGTGCGAAGAACTTTTATTGGGTTGCCAACTTCTTTCTCAGCAAGTGCTTTATAGCTTTTAAAAACTTCAAAGGCTTCAGATTTTTCTTGCAAAAAATAAACCCATATCTTACGACTATAATCATCAATGAAGGTAATTATATATCTTTTACCTCCATTTGAATGTGTTTTTATTGGCCCACAAATGTCGGAATGAACAAGTTCCAATGCCTTCTTTGCTCTCCAAGATTTTCCATGTGGGAATTGATTACGGTGTTGTTTGCTAACAACACATTCTTCACAAACGTGAGAAGAAGCTATAATTTGAGGAAGCCCTGTCACCATCTTCTTCTATTGTAGTGTTTTCAATCCGCCAAAATTTAGATGTCCATAGCGAAAGTGCCATAGCCATGCCTCATCTTTTAATTTTGCTGAGAAGCACGAATGAGCGGTGTTGTGGAGATAAAGTGGGAACATATGATTCGCCATCATGTTAACTTGAGTAATTAAGCCGAACTTTGCATCTTGAATCTGACGTACTCCATCTTTGATAAAAATCTCGTATCCTTTTTCTTGTAACTGACCCACACTAAGCAAGTTGGTCTTTAAATCTGGCACAAAAAGAACATTAGCGATAGTGTGGGTGGAATTTCCTTTGATTTGGATTGCTACCTTTCCTTTTCCCATAACAGAAATTTTGGAGTTGTCACCAAACTTAACAGAGCTGCGAAAGGATTCATCCAAGTCAGAGAATGCCTCCTTCTCTCCACACATGTGGTTGCTGCAGCCAGTGTCTAAATACCACATGTTTTGTTGAGTTTCTTCCTTCACATGACACACCATCAAAAGAGACACCTCTTCTTGCTTTTCTGCAAAGTTAGTTTGATCTCCACTTTGTTTATTCAAATCAGTTTGATATTCTGATTTATAATGGCCATACCTATGACATCTATAACATTCAATATTGGACTTGTCTGCTGACTTTGATCTGTAAGTTGTTGAGTGGTAGCCACAACATCCTCTGCCTCTTCCTTGAATTTGACTCTCTTGATGGTTCTCACGATCATTGTTGTATCTGCCTCCTCTACCTCGACCTCTGTTTGTTCCTCGTCCTCTATCAGCTCTACTGGATGTAGAGTGATTTCCTGATAAGGCCTTCAATGCATGTTCTTCTTTTTCCTGCGGGTTGATTTTTTTCTCATGAACCAACAAAGAACTTTGTAATTCATCAATTGACAGTAAACTAACATCATTAGCTGCTTCTATAGCACAGACAACAAAATTAAATTTTGGTGTCAAGGATCAAAGAATCTTCTCAACAATGAGAACATCCTCTGTCTTGTCGCCATGGATCCGCATCTTGTTAACGATTGAGTTCCAACCCTTTCATTAAATTGATATCAACCGAAGGGAGAACCAAATCTTTCACAAAATCAAGAGAGCCTTTATCATTTCATCAAATTTTGCAGGTGGCTATTGGTGGACGACCTGCCGAACAACCTGCTTGTCAACTGGATTTTGGGATGAATTGGGAATTTTGTAAAAAGATTTGATGAAAATTTACTATAGGCTGGACGACTGGCCGAATTTGATGAAACTATTAGAGTGCGTCATATCATATCAAATTTTTACTTAAATTTGATGAAGCGTTGGAGATGTTCTTACGGATGCCTTTGTTTGCATTTCAAATGCATCAATTGCATTGTCTTGACTAGACTCTTCATTCTGTATTGATATGCTGAATCTCGCGTAAAATCTAATAGCATAACTATGCCTACAGATATTGTTGATATGTTGACTAATGCTGATTAGCCTTTCTCAATCCTCAAGCTAGCCTACAACCTGTTCTATGTAAATTATAATGGAATGTGCTTTCGTATGCATGTTGCTTTATCTTCTTTTTTTTATTTTTATTTTTCTTGGTTCCTTTTTTAGTTTTCTTATTCTTATGTTTAATTGGAAATTTTAACTTAGATTATTGTCAATTGGCTGTGTTAAATTATTATTTACGCTATTCTCATCAAAATTCATTTTCATCCTTTTTGGGTCCAGACGTTCCATCTGATGTCGACGCTACAAGGTGATGTCTACGTGTTGAATGACATTTACCGATTGAATCATGCATGAAGACAGTGGATGGTTTAGTTACAAACAGTGGAGAATACATGATATGCTAAATGCCCTCAAACAGTGGCGAATACAGGATATTGTTTAGTTTCAGACTCTTTTATTTTCAAATGTGAGGATCCTCTCATTGTGGTTGGTTGTGTTCTGTAATTTGTTGCGTCTTTTATTATTCTATCCTCCATTCTTCCGAGATTGCTTTGTTTAATAGGAGGGGTGGGCCCGGATCGGTTGCGGCTATGAAACCTCTAATTCACCATCCGTCTATTAGATTGGCGGATTAAAGAAAATCAATCCGTATCCATCCGTCAATCCGGCGGATGTGGATTGAACGGATTGGCGGATGGATGCAAATCGGTTTGACGGTTTAAAATTTTATAAATTTTCAACATAATTCAACTTGTACACTTCCTTAAAAAAAAAAAAAATATTATAGTCAATGACTTCAAAAAGTATTACAATCATTGTATGTCTCATCTAAAGAAAGAAAGTTTGAAATTTTAGAATATTACAATCACTGCATGCATCATCCATATATTGCAATCACAATTCACATAAATTATTACAATCTGTGGTCCTTAAAATATAAAAGCAATTCAAACCATCAAAACCATAAACAAAACAGTAATAGAGACTGTATGCCTCTATATTGTTACATCTATATTTGTTTTTGAAAACAAAAATCAATCAGCATATATCATATTTTCTATTTATTAATTTTAAGAGTTAGATTTAAAAATAAAAATATATAGATAAATAATACATTTATTTTTTTCAATTCAAAAAATATGTTCTAATTGAAAACTCTTTTTCAATAGATTATATTCAATAGAATATTTAAACCATTTGTTAATTGAAAATACAATCAAAATATCTAAACAAATTAAAAATATAAAGTCTTATAAATTATTAGGGGTGCTCGTGGTTTGGCGGTTCGGTTGCGGTCAAAGCAACTTCAAATCCGCCTGATTAGCCTTTCTCAATCCTCAAGCTAGCCTACAACCTGTTCTATGTAAATTATAATGGAATGTGCTTTCGTATGCATGTTGCTTTATCTTCTTTTTTTTATTTTTATTTTTCTTGGTTCCTTTTTTAGTTTCCTTATTCTTATGTTTAATTGGAAATTTTAACTTAGATTATTGTCAATTGGCTGTGTTAAATTATTATTTACGCTATTCTCATCAAAATTCATTTTCATCCTTTTTGGGTCCAGACGTTCCATCTGATGTCGACGCTACAAGGTGATGTCTACGTGTTGAATGACATTTACCGATTGAATCATGCATGAAGACAGTGGATGGTTTAGTTACAAACAGTGGAGAATACATGATATGCTAAATGCCCTCAAACAGTGGCGAATACAGGATATTGTTTAGTTTCAGACTCTTTTATTTTCAAATGTGAGGATCCTCTCATTGTGGTTGGTTGGTTGTGTTCTGTAATTTGTTGCGTCTTTTATTATTCTATCCTCCATTCTTCTGAGATTGCTTTGTTTAATAGTAGGGGTGAGCCCGGATCGGTTGCGGCTATGGAACCTCTAATTCACCATCCATCTATTAGATTGGCGGATTAAAGAAAATCAATCCGTATCCATCCGTCAATCCGGCGGATATGGATTGAACGGATTGGCGGATGGATGCAAATCGGTTTGACGGTTTAAAATTTTATAAATTTTCAACATAATTCAACTTGTACACTTCTTTAAAAAAAAAAAAAATTATAGTCAATGACTTCAAAAAGTATTACAATCATTGTATGTCTCATCCAAAGAAAAAAAGTTTGAAATTTTAGAATATTACAATCACTGCATGCATCATCCATATATTGCAATCACAGCACGCCTCATTCACATAAATTATTACAATCTGTGGTCCTTAAAATATAAAAACAATTCAAACCATTAAAACCATGAACAAAACAGTAATAGAGACTGTATGTCTCTATATTGTTACATTTATATTTGTTTTTGAAAACAAAAATCAATCAGCATATATCATATTTTCTATTTATTATTTTTAAGAGTTAGATTTAAAAATAAAAATATATAGATAAATAATACATTTATTTTTTTCAATTCAAAAAATATGTTCAAATTGAAAACTCTTTTTTAATAGATTATATTCAATAGAATATTTAACCATTTGTTAATTAAAAATACAATCAAAATATCTAAACAAATTAAAAATATAAAGTCTTATAAATTATTAGGGGTGCTCGTGGTTTGGCGGTTCGGTTGCGGTCAAAGCAACCTCAAATCCGTCATCCGTTCAAAACTAGGCGGATTAAAAAAAAATTAATCCAGAACCATCCGTTCATTATCACACACCTGTTCAAAATGCGACTAATCGATTTGATTCAGTTCGGTCAATTTAAGTAGATCGATATATCCATTACTCACTCCCATAGGATGAATTGATGGAAGAGTTTTTTTTCTTTATTTTTTTGTTCATGATTGGATTGATACTTGGAGATTATGTTCATTACTTGTATTTAGAGAAATGCATGGGGAAATGTACAAGTGTGAGCACCCCTCTATATCATGTATTGTATTTTGGAGTGTGATTTTGTCCAATTTAATAAATTCAGAGTTGTTTTCGCATCACGTGCTTCTTTATGCTTGTCCTTGTTAATAGTTTATGTTTCTCCAGGGTGCTGTTGATACAGTAAAATTGGTTGGGTGCATACTAGACTTTGCCATGAACCTACTACACACTTGGCATTTGTTTCAAACATAAAAACCCTAGAATATCCTCAGTCCTTATTACTGCCCAAATGGGGCAGCTCTGCAATTCTGAGGGGAGGGAGAGAAGGGCCATCAACCTGCTGTTGCTTTGAAGAGGACTTTTTCTCTCCATTTTGATCATTTACAACAGGCCCTTTGAGCATTCCTGTGAGCATACTACCAAAGGATTTAACACTATATTTGGGAATCTAAGAGAAAAAAAAGAAAAAGAAAAGATTACTTAAGTTATAAGAGAAAAGAAAAGAAAATAAATAATTATGATTTCTCTCTTTCTTTGTTTGGATAAGTAAGAAATAAAAGAAAAGAAATGATTTTGATTTCTCTCTCTCTTTGTTTGGATAAATAAGAAATAAAAGAAAAGAAATGATTTTGATTTCTCTCCTTCTTATTTGGTTAGATTTCATAAGAGAAAAAAAAAAAAATTATTTTATGTTATATTAACAAAATAATATTTTATATTTTCAATCATTTTATTTCTTTCATTTTTATAGGGACAAAATTGGTATTAAGAAAATATTGGTTTCTTTTCTCTCAATTTCTCCACTTTTGGAAAGATTGAAAATGAGGGTTATAAGAGAAATAAGTTTCTCTTCGTTTCTCTCCACTTAAATTATCAAAATAAGTAAGAGAAATACATATCTCTCTATTTCTTTTCTTTTCTCTTCAAATCACTTAATTCAAACAGTGTAAAAGCTTGGCTCAATCCATCTTGAAGTTTCAGTGCAAGAGAGACCTTGGATAGCTGCCACGCTACGGTAAGGACAATCATGGCTGAAAGGAGGCAATGAGTGATAAAATTCTGTCTTTTAATCTCCCTAAGCTCTCTGACTATCTCTTCTCCTCCACCATTGTCGTCGTCATCATCACTGCCACCATCTGCCTCATCGGCAACCTCACTTATTGACTTGCCAACCGTGGGGGAAGGTAGAACCTTTGAATCTGCTGGTGGGTCAGGTTGCTTATTACGTTTGCCATCACCCCCCTCTTTAATGTTTCTAACTGTAACATAAATTATTGAATCAATCGTGGCTTCAATTTTATTATAATGGAGTCTAAAATATGGGGCCAAAAAAAAGAAAAAGAAAAAGAAAAAGAAAAAAAGATAATGAATCTATTACTTCGGATAGAGGGCACACGATTATTTATCCTAACAATCGATGTTTTCTTTTCACTGAAACATGCGGAGCATCCATTAACTATTCTTAGATTATCATTGTTTTTTTGGTTTTTTATTTTTTGTTTCTTTAACAATTATCTCTACAAATCCAAATGCCAAAAAAATCACAATGCTGTGTTTGGTTGTGGAATTTAGAAAGTAATTTAAAAAAGAAAAATAAAAACATAGGAGAAATATGAATAAAATATACTTACATTTCAGATTTAGGAAGTGATTTGAAGGGGGGGAGAAAAAAAAAAAAGGTCAAATGCTTACATTTCACTTAGTTTTATACGCCTTTTCTTTTTTATTTTTCAAATTTCTTCCCAAATCTCTTAACCAAACACAACGTCAAACATGCAGATAGATTGAATAAAATTCTATGTGCAATCAACAAATCTCCTTTTTCAGATGCAACAAAATTCAAATTTAAAATCCTAGCATGAAACAAGAAGAAACAAATACATCTTATCTGAGGTTTTTCAACCAAATAATCAATTAGAAAGCAATTCAGAGAGGGTGCTCGTGGTTTGGCGGTTCGGTTGCAGCCAAAGGAACTTCAAATCCGCCATCCGTCCATCAAATTGGCGGATTGGAGAAAATCAATCCGCAACCGTCCGCTCGTCATCACGCATCCGTCTAAAATGCGGCGCTTTTTTTTTTTTTTTTTTTTTTGTGTGTGTGTGTGGGGCAATTATTGTTCGATCAATTGATCGTTTGGCATTTCAATCTGAAACAAAGAGATTCGATTTCACATTCAAGTGAAGTGAAAAGGCTTCCAGGCACTTAAACCATCTTTCCATGAAATCGTGGCAAATTATCCATATTCTCCAATTTTGGACCACATAAAACTATCACGCTAGAAATTAGAGAATACCCTCGTTTTAAAAGTCACCATCTTGTGTTCTTTCCCACAAAGCCAAACCCACAATTTTCTCGGGAAAATATGAACTGTACACGTGGCCATGTGCCGGTGTTTTGTAGTTTGTTTGTTATTATTTTCTGAAGAAACATATAAGCATATAATCCATTATTATTGAGTGAACACACATCCAATAATATTTTGAAAAAACAGAATAAGTATTGGTATGTAAGTTGATTTCATTTTGAGTAACCGATAAACCACACTACTGTGCCATTGTTCCTCCAAACCATGGTAAGTATCCAAATAACTAGGGGAGAGAGAGAGAGAGAGAGAGAGAAAACTGTGGTTCCAGCCCAGTTGAACCCATCAATTACCATTTACAAGAAGCATGTATATATCTAAGGGCTTGATTATTAACAACCCTCTACAATAGCTAAAATTCAAACCACAATATACAGATTGAACCAAAAGATATCTATAGTGGCTTCTGTCAAAAATAGCATACCAAAAGAGGATGGATGCAGTTAAAAGAGGATTAGAAGTTGAATCTACGGGTACCAGGGTGAATCTTCATTTTCCATAGAGGAAACATCACTCTGAGAAGTTAATGTTATTTCACTTTCCGCGGCTCCAACTTCAGCCTGCAAACATTAATTGAACAGCCAATTAAGTTGTCTGCTTGAAAACTTGAAATAAGGGATCCTTCTCTGTGGATCAATATAAACATACCAAACTGGAAACACAAATTGATAATATAACCAAACCAAGAAAATCAACCAGACATGCATCAGCTAAGGATGGGCATGTCGTGTTCATGCCGTGTCATCTTGAATTCATGTCAAAATTCCTACAACACTAACTAGATCCGTTTATTTTTTCTAGTTAATGTGTCATACCAAAAAAATTTCATCTTTAGTTTAAAGGGAAAATTACACCAATGATCCCTCTAGTTTAGAACTTGTGTCACTTTGGTTTCTGATTTTTCAATTGTGGTACATTTGACACAGCATATTGAATCTCAAATCGGGATTCGTATCGTGAATCGAAATGACCTCGTACCGAATCGCGAATCGAATCGAATTGTGAATCGTAAAGATTCGGTTATTTTTTCTAAATTACTTAAAACATATATCTACACATTTAGATGTTAAATATATCTTATGAGATTCTGATAACAGAGCACAGCATATTGAATCTCATTCCAAATAAAGACAATTGAAAATACATTTGCTTAATTTTAAGGACAAAGTTGTCGATTTGATAAAATATAAAATAGTTAGACAAAAATAAATGTCAAAAAATTATTTCTAATAAAATTATATAAAATCGATAAATCTTTAAAAGTTGGGTGAATTACACTAACAGTTCCTATAGTTTGAGGATTGCATCACTTTGATCTCTGACTTTTCAATTGTGATACATTTGACCATGAATTTTAAATATTATTTCAAATAAAAACAATCAAAGATGTTTGCAAACGGTCCATTTCAAGGGCAAAGTCGTCATACAACTTATTTTATGTTGGTTAAGTTGTATGTTATTTAAAATGTTGTGTTTTTTTTTTTTTTAATGAATAATGCTATAACTTTCTTGATTATAAAGTTCTGTTTGGTTTAGTTTTTAAAATCTATTTTCAGAAATTTTTTCTAAGAAACTAAAAATTAAATTGTCAAAAAAAATTTAACATACATCATTTTTATATAATTTTATCTTTTGGGAGCGTAGAAATAATTTTTTATTTTTTTTTAATATTTATTTTCATTAAATTAGTTTTTATTTTTTTAAAAATCAAACATAACAACAACTTTGATGTAATTATTAAACCAATTCATTAAATCAAAAAATTCAAAACCAAAAACATTTCATATATTAAACATATCAATTTCATATTAAAAGCTTAATAATCATATATTACATAATAACCATCCAAAAATATATGTTAACAATAAATACAATAAATACAACCATCTCTTATATGATAATCACCCAAAAACATCAACAAAAACAACCACTCATTATATTATCATCATCTAAACACATACTAAAAATTAATTTGGTAAAAAATATAAATATAACAAATTTATCATTTTTATATAATTTTATCTTTAACCGGTAGAAATAATTTTTAAAATTTGAAAAATAATTTTTTGACATTTTTTTTTGTCAAACTACATCATATTTCATCAAATTGATGACTTTGCTCTTGAAATGGAGTAACGGTGTCTTCAGTTGTCCTTATTTGAAATGAGATTCAAAATTCGAGATCAAATATATCACAATTAAAAAGTCATGAATCAAAATGACACAAATCCCAAATTACAAGAACTGTTAATGTAATTCGCCCTAATTTAAAATACCATATGAAACATTTTTTTCCCCCACAAATTAAATTTCATGAACTAATCTCTACTACATCATATTATTCATAAAAATGTTTAATTTCAACTCAATTCCATTTCTCCAATTCCATAAAACTAAACCCCGTTTTTATTATTACTATTTTTTTGTTTACCACATTGACTCCAACCCTAGTTCACTAACTTTGTGCATGATTCGTGTTGTATTTACGTGTCGTGTAAGAAATTCCCATCCCTACCATCAACCAAACATGTGACACAATTCTACCTATGTTTCACTAAAAGTAATTTTAGAATTCAGAATCCAGATTCAGAATTCACATGTTTGACATGTCAGATCAGATAGCATATAAAAGTAATTTTAGTGCAATGTCTAAAACAAGATATAAGGCCTAATTACCTTAGCTTGGTGGTATCTTGCAAGCAAGCGGCGATATTGATGACGTGCCTCAGGAGATTCAACCATGGACAGCACTCTCGAGACAGCCTCATCAATAGCTCCATGCACTTTCTGTTTGCGGAATACCTTGAGAATGTCTTCTTCATCGTCACTTTCATCAATGGATTCCATCTCGGGCCGAAATCCCCGCAATCCAACCCCTTTCCGGCGCCATCTTATTATAACCTTTTCTAGAACACTAACAGCCCAACAGATTATCTTATATTGCTTCCTAACCTGATGACCTCTAACATGAGCCTGTCAATACAAGAACTATAATAAGAGCAGTACTTTTGACCCCTTGCACTAATTAATTGGGAGGGATTTTAGTGATTTCAATTCAGTATGTGTGTCTGGTGCACTTCCAAATGCAAGAAAATAAGTAACACAATAATCTGTATTTTCCACGAGGGTTTTCAACTGAATTAGTACAGATGCCTATCAAACGAGAACAATTACAAATGTTTAGTGTTTGGGTTCACTGAAATGAGGTGAAATAGAATTATCATTCCATCAAAATGTCCATTATCACATTTAGTTCACTAAAAAAAAAAATGAAAAATGCATTACAAATAGAATCATCTTTCACTATTGTAAATCAATCTATAGGGAGGCTACGGGATAACCTTTCTATTTCATTCAATTCCACCTTCATTCCAGTGAATCAAACACTATCTACGAAGTTCATGAAGGAATAATAAAATTCTGTCAATTTGACAAAAGGGAAATGGGAAACTGAAGGGGAATTTGGTGGCTGATCTCCCTACGACTACAGATGTTTTTATAGAGTGCTTTCATCAATATTAAAATTATGTAAACTAACTGGTCCTGACATGTTATGGATTACGTAAAGAGAAACAAAATACCTGTATCTTCACCACTTTGTGGCGAATTGCAAGAAAATCCTTGCGACCTTTCCATCCTCTATATTTCTTCTGAATAGATAGAGCAGCTGTATTGTAATCACGTGCATTGCGGAAAGCCAATTTCGATGAAAGCTCGGGAATTTCATTTGAAAGGATACCATACTCATCTACACTAGCAGCTTCTCTCTGTTGCCTTTTTCTGAAAGAATGTGCACGAAACGCAGCTTGTATACGTGAAGCAGCTTGAGTTGCATTCCTGACCGCAGCTAAAGTGTCTTTAAGAGAAAGCTGATCCTCATTTATAGAAAGACTCATCTGTGAGATACTATTTACAGCATTTTCAGCTTCCACATCGGCCGAGCCTTTAGACAGCTCACTTTCTTTCAGTGTGAGGGATGAAAGATGGCTAGTTAGGGCCACCTCAGAAAGATAACCGGCAAGTCCCTTGTGTCCAAAGGTGGCAGCAATGGATGCTGGTGTTTTACCGATAGGATCTCGTGAATTGGGATCTGTCACTGCCCCGGCTGATGCACCAGATGCTATGAGTGTGGCAACTATTTTTTCTCTGATCAAAAGCATTTGAAGCCCACCAATACAAAGATGATTTAGGAAGAGTTTAATTAATGGAAATTACACAACTAAATAAGGCTAACTCTAAAATGATCTGCAGTGCCATATTACAGTTGATGCCTTAATTAAGAAATGTACAAGACACATTCTAGTGTGAATCACCTTTTTGGGATATCAGAGCTAGGTCAGGCTTAGACCTAGGCATGGCTATATTTGCCCAAAATGGCTTCCCTCAGACCTGATGCTAGAGTCTCACTTTTAACAGAAAAAACTTCTACTATCACACACAGCAATAGCCCAACATGTTTTATTAACTTACAGAACTTATGTGCTATGTTATATGGACTTAGGTACGAATGTCAGTTGGGGTGTATATCTAGAGATTAGACCTATCAAACCTCAAATTTAAGGGTACACAAATTCCATAAAAAATCGTTGAATCATATATATTTAATCCATTATGTGAGATAAAATGATGTTATATGAACATACTGTGTCAAAAAGGCATTTTACAACAAAATAAACATATAATGTGTTCAATGGATAGTATTGGACACATATTTCACACCTTTGTCCAAGTGTCGGGTGTCCGACACGGGTATTTAATTTATTTTGAATAGTCCGTGTAACAGAGCTTATGTCATTTAGCATTGCAAAAATATTTTAGCACCCAAGTGTCCTCTAGTAAGTGCCAGAAGTCATGCATCTGTTGTCTGGTTCTATGGAGAAAAAAAAATAAAAAAAATAAAAAAATTAAAGAGAATTTTTCATCACCTTCCAAATCGTGCAGCCCAATGAAGGGCAGTCCATCCATTAATGTCACGGAAATTTACTCCAACTCCAGAATTGAGAATTGGATTTAAGGCCCACTCAAATCCCAATCCAGCAACCATGTGAAGTACCCCTTGCTCTTTCTTAGACAAGGAACAACCTTGCTGATCGCATCCTCCTTGGGATCTAGAAGAAAGCCACTGTTGTAACTTGTCTTTTAAAAGTTCTTGCAGAAGCCAATCTGTTGTACTTGATGAAGTCCAACTGCCGTCTAGAAGAGCCTCAATAACTTGGACCCATGAATCTTCGCCAGCTTTGAATTTGCCCAATAAATCTATTCCTGAACCAGTAAAGTCTTCGTTCTGCACCAAAGGATCAGACAAAAGCATCTGTACAAACCTGACAAGTAAGGGCAGTTCTTCCGGACTCTTAGTTGTTTCTTTTTGGGATGAACTACAATGAGCACAAATACTTTGACTAACACGGTAATCGAACTCTCTGACTTCGCTGCAGGACTCCCGATTCCCAGAAGTGATACAAAGAGTCACCTTTCCAGGAAGGTGAGGAGGAGCCTGGCAACATATGACACCTTCCTGGATGATCTGAACAGGTACTTCGATGTCACCAAACATACAAGTCCATGCAGCTTCTGATGGATTGCACAGAAAAGATCCAACAATAACAACCTGCAGTGAGCAACTTTAACTCTATAATCTGAACTTCCAACACAATAATGCTACACTTAACCATTTATTTTTACCACATTTCAAATACCATCTTATGTGACACTTACCATTTACTTAATATCCAATGGCAATGACTGTGCCACATAAGATGGTATTTGAAATGTAACATAAATAGATGGTAAGTGTAGCATTATCGTTCCCCACAACAATAGCATCTTCACAAAAGAAAAGTTTAATAGTAGAAAATTAGACTGAATCTGCATCACAGCACTTGCTATATAATGTAAATAAGCCCTCGAACTGGTGGCATAACAGCTTTGTATCAAGCACAAGATGGAATGTGGGCTAAGATTGTGTTTGGATGAAGTTGTCAGATGTATTCAAAATGCAGGGGTTCAAGATCCAGATATTTTCATATTCCTAGATTTGGAAAATATGTTTTTTAAGACAAAAATTCCTACACCTAGGTAAGTGGTTAATCAATTAGTGCACCGAAAACCATCACCAAAGGAGCATTAAACTGATTATTGATATTCAGTTGGCCAACTAATTAAAGTAAATCACTGGTTCACATACTCTACATAGGCCCAACAATTCAACAAACAGCATGTACCAAAAAATAACCTTCAATCACTCCTGCCCATTTGTAACCCATATATGGGAAAATACCAGACACAAAGCAACAAACAAGATATGAAAAAGAAGATATGTTAAACATAGAATTGCATGAAACATACCTTCGTAGCCTCAAAGGCATAACCCCATTCTGGGGATATTTCTCGAATTGTAAATTTCTGTTTTTGTGCAATAGTTAAACTTGTATCTGTATCAAGATCTAGGTCAAATAATGTTGTAAAGTAGTTGGGTTCAGTATGACGAATATTTGTTTCAGGAGAATATGCAGGAAAATTGAAATTTTTAACTCCTTCAGATAGTGACATGGAATCTGGTAATGCCAAGGGGCTCTCAGAGCTTGGTGCTGAAAGTTGCTGATTCGTGTTGCTGCCAAGAGTTAGGAAATCATCACACTTTAGCAAATTATGTCCACCAAAATTTATCAAATGACATCCTTCTTGCACTTTAGGGAGACTCTTGCTTGAGTCAGGTAGTAGCATTCCCTGTCGAAAGTATGAACCCATTACGGAAGAAACAAAAAGATTAGCCTTACAATCATGGGATGATTCTGAGAAAAATTGAGAGGATAATTAAGTCAATATATATAGGTTGAGTATCCTGTGCCTGCGTACACGTTTGCAATCAGCACCAATCCATACATTAATGGTAACCACTATCACATTGCATATGAATACAAGTTTACTTCAAAAGTATATTATAGTAGGCAAAATTGATAGAACATAAATAATAATAAATTAACACACTTTCTCACATTTCCATCCAAGGTGCGTAAATTTTTCTCTTGGAACTGGGCACGTGGTGAACTCTGGTAGGACTCTAGCATCTCTTTCCAATATAAAGAGTCTTCCCGTTCAACCGTAAATTCTTGCGCCAATGCTTTGTGATTGTGTTTCCCATTGCCACCTGAGAAAAGAAACCATTAAAAAAGAATGAAACAAAAAATCCATTAGCTTTCTCCATTTCTTGTTTATATTATATTTAAAAATGAATAAAAAGAAGAAAATGGACAAAAAAATAGAATACAAATTGGGAGAGCAAATCTGCAAGATGCTTACACAAATTTTAAAAATGATTGAACAAACTATGACAAGATTTATATGCCATTGCTGGAAACTTAAAATTGACTAATGCCTTGATAGAAAAGAAATGGAGAAGAAAGGGAGTTCAAAATTAATGGCTGCCCAAGTAGAATGCAAAATATTTGGCAGCTGATCTCAACCAACACCCAAAATTTCAATTAAATTATCATAAAGTACATGAATTACACAAAAAAATGGTAGCATCACAGACTGGCTGCAGTTTTTTGCCCCATCTATCACATAGATTAACTTTAAAATGAAAAAAAACAGTCCATTCATTGTTAACAATATATATGTTATGTGTGTGTGTGTGTGCGCACACCAAGAAAGAACTCCCATGTTTTACAATCTAAGACTGAAGAAGAGGAGGAAAGACTCTAACTTCTCTATTTATTTAACTACGACGACAACAAAAGCTAAAACAATCAATTCACTGCTTGCCTGGCATGCTTCAGTAACTTTGCAGCAAATAACTATATAATTATGTAGACTAGCCGAAGGAAATGGGAAAAAATACTGTACTAACTGATCATGGTACGAGCTCCATACTAACAACTATCATATGAAATCAGATTCAGTAATGAAGGAGACCAATATCAACTCAGATGAGGATATATATTGAATATAATTTCATAAAACATGATACATCAACAGGATTAATGTTAAGAATCTAACATTTGTGACAAAACATACAAGTGCATTTTGTCAATACTGAGCCACCAAATGACACAAACCTGACTCTCGTTGCAACACAAGATTGTCTAAATCATCTGGAGATGCAGCAGGTCTACATTGACCATTTATGATGTATTCTGAATCATTTGAATTCTCAATCTCAGTGCGGAATGGTAAAATTTCTTCCAAATTACCATCATCCAAACTTAACTGCTCCTTAAGCCTTTGCAATGTTTGAGTTACTTCAGGCTCAGATGAACCACTAATCTCTCCCATTCTTTTGATCCCGTCTATGTGATCCATCCCGTTATTCTTGATGACTGCATCAGAACTTACTTCTACAGACCCTGGACTCTGATAGGGTTCATATAGTTCAGTAATGACAGCAGTAGAGCCAGGGTGTTGAGCAGTAAATGAGCTGGGACTCTGATTGAATGTAGAAGGGGATCCAGTTGACAATTGTGAAATGGTTTCAGAGCTATGCTTTCCCTGCAACTCATGAATACAACTGGCAATGTCAATATTGAAGCTCAAGTTATGCACCAATAGCTAGAACGGTAGATAGTCTTTGTAATAATCATCCAGAGAGGAACAGAACATTGCTTCTTGCTGTTCACAATTTCATCGAGTATTATATATATATATATAACTAGCAATGCTAAAGTTATGTCCATGGGAAGAGTGGCAATTCTAAGTGCCCATTCAATAATGATTTACAGACCAATCCATCTTGGCCATATTACATTAATGGTCAAGAAGCAGTTACCAAAAATCTTATACATGTATAAATTATTAAGTCTCCAATGCAGACTGTTAATTTCTGGACCAGAAAGTTTAAAACAGAGCACAAGAATGAAATACAAAAAACACTACTTAGAATGAACAATTTAAGCCATGGATATTAAGCTGGGAATAAAGAAGAATTAGCATTTTTGTGATGAAAAACTAGGTTAAAAGATAACGGTAAGGACATTATGAGGTACAAGCAAGTATAATTGTCACGAGATCTGCCTTGTCAGGAACTTACCTCATCAGTATCTCTATAATGAACAAGAACAATGTGCTCATATGCCCTGCCAAAATCCCAAATAAATAAAAGTAAAAAGAAGAAAAAAAATGAAATGAAATTGGAGGGGGGAGAATAAGTGAATTAACTCTGAGATAAGTGACAAAAATAATTGTTATCTGTTATTTATTACACATATGAAGACTACAGAGTGTAGAAAACTTATAGGCAAGTATAGCATTGACTGACACTGTGAGTTTGATGTACCGAGTCTCAACTCTTACAACTACTACCCTCTGAAACAATGGTTTCGGAAAACAAGCTTTAATGAATAAAAAATTACTGTCAGCTAAGAAATGCAAAGTGCACTCACTGATCCAACATCCAATAGCTACGCCTCTGAAACTTTGGATTCTGCTCTCCATGTGCATAATAACAATTTAAAGCTTCAGCATTTCCAACCTAGACACAAATTATCAAGTAAAATGACTTCACTGAGGCAAAGAACATCAAATAAAGAAAACTCCATTGCACTTTTATAGTTCACAGACATCTAAAAGTGCAGGAAACAGCAAACAATAATTTTGTACTACACATGTAAAACCCTTTGAGCACATATTAGTATTATTAACATTGTTACGTATTTATATTAATATTATGAACACGTATTAGGGTTTTTATGAAAACCCAGTTAATTTGTGTGATCCATCCAGTGTTTTATGTTGTTCCCTCATCCATGTAGAGGTGGCAAAAATGTTTTGGAGTGCACAAAGGAGTCGACTGTTGAGACAATTCAGCATGTATATACCTAGCCAGAACCAGCCTGAAATCAGAGCTTCAATGGGCTGAAGAAGAAATTTAAAGTTGTCTCATTTATACTGCAAAACTCTACATCTAAGATAAAAAAAGACAAATCAAAATAAAACTAAAATGATTTCCACATATGCATTTAGGAGCAAGTCAGGGATTCCAAAGAAAAAGAAACATCATGATGTAAACTAGTACATGGCATGTTACACGGAGGAGATTGTAAGGTTGAAGCAGGCAGGAGAAATTTGGCTTTATATAATCTCAAATGGCAGATCAGAATGCCACATGCATGCTTTGTAATGTTAGCATCTTCACATAGGAATGCTGACTATATTGACATTTGTTGACACACCTTGAGCCGTTCATGTGCTTCACCAACAGTTCTCCCATCTTTCTTTTTACGCCAGCTGTGACCATCTTTACGGAAAAATCGAAGAACCCTTTTGTTAAAAAGAAACAAAGATCCACCTGTTGAAAAATCCAACAGTGAAATAGAAATTATTAGTCATAACATGCAGTAGACCTAACTTATTTATAGGCTTGATGCAAAGTTGCAATAAGATATAGCAAATAAGAATGTTACTTGCTGGTTTTTTAGCGGGCTCATTGGTGATTTGGTCTTCCTGATAATTTTGCAAAATAAAGAGCACTTCTGCAGGCTTCAGCCACCGCCTTTGAGCTTCTTGAACTAGATCATTAATATTATAACCTGAAATGGGATAGGAAATAGCAATTCATGTAACTCTTCATTTCGTAACTTTCTTTTTTTTTTTGGTGGTACAAGAGGTTATGATCAAAATCCTATAGTATATTTTCCAAGGAGAGAAAGTACTTAGGTTAACCACAAGCTAAATTGAACCGCCCCAAGAACCAATCATATATATAAAATACATATATGGTATACACGTCTTTATATAATTAACTATTTATTATGGTAAACTTTGTTATACTCAATCATGTGATATAAAAATTTTCTATTAACTATTTTTTCTAAAATTTTGTTTTATAATTAAAATTTTAAAATTTACAAGGAACCTTAGTTTCAACCCTCGGGTTGGATTGGTTCTGTTCCAAGGAATGATTTATTCGATTTTGGGTCCCAAAACATAGAACCAACCAATGTTGGTTCGGTTCTATATTTTGCTAGATCACCACTTATCTCAAAAGCTCAAGTTGTTACGAAATAGGCCCAACAATGTATATCAAGCTATCTAACACTCTCCCTCGCATGCAAACATATTATGCACATAGAGATGCAAACATACATACATATAGAGAAGTAAAATGCAAACGAAACACAAATGCAAATGGAGAGTTGAACCCAAGCCTCCTCCAACCTGAGCTCTAATATCATGTGACATCGCCACTTATCCCAAAAAATTTAAGTCATTAGGAAATGAGCACAACAATATAGGTCAAGCTATCCAACAAGTTTAACCCAAACCGAACCAACCCAACCCACTCTCACTCCCACTCCTAGGCAGGGATCAAAAGGAGGTAGTTCATATTTTTTTTTAAAAAAAAAACAAAATAAATAAATAAAAAAAAAACCTAAGTTGCATTTGGATTAATGAATTTGAAATACAAAGTTTGGAACTCAAATCAGTGATGATGGATTATTAAAGGTTGTATTGGGAGATGCATCCAAGTAAAATACTTGTGCAATTACAATTCTTAGTAGGATTAATTTCAAATAACTCTTTTAATCTTGTTATTTCAAACTCCCTCAAGATGTACAAAATTCATTTGTAGAGCTCATCAACAGTTAAATGCAAATCCATTGATATCAAATGCACAAAATCCAAACACAAAATAAAATTTCTAAAATTCCTTTCCTTGAAGAACATTAATATGAAAGCTAAAAGATTTATCTAAATCCTCCAAAGGAAATTGAATAGTTCAGAGCAAATCAAAGACTAATGTTCATAACACTAAGACAAGAACTGAGGCCAACATAATTTTTCGTGTATGGTGCACGAAATAAAGATAGTGTAGAAAGAACTTACACAAAAGCTGCAAGTCAAAACTTGTAAATGGACAATGTCTAATCTTAGTTATGTTATAACCACATAGAGCTGTAAAAAAACTAGAGCACAGACCTATATAATATAACCTAAGCACTTCAACTAACTTGTTAACAGCCCTAGCTCAACCCTCTCTGTGTCTTAGGATCAGGTGATCAGCCATTGACCATTGTTTGTCCTTTCCTCCTTGCCACTTTTGGTTCAATGGTAAAAATCTCCTATTTCATCTTCATTTTCTTGAAATTTTATCAAATATTGACCCTTTCCCCAAACTTCATATAATCATGCGTGCACACACGTACATGCATAAGAACTTTTACTTCAGTTCATAGAGTCATGTTGTTCTCATTCAATCAAAATGTTCTCCAATCATTAAGACACCTTCCAGCACTTGGAATTTCAAAATTCGGGTTGGAAAATGCTTAACACCCCTAAATTTACCCAAATGATGTGGACTGTGTAACATGTTATTTGTCGATTTGTTACCCTTCATATTTAAGAGGTCTCTAGCATTAGGGATACGAATCTTCTTGTACCCTAGACAACCACATGAATTATATATCAACCTCCATTAAAATTCCAAGTACCTAAGCAAAATTAATTGCTTTAATTCGTAAAAGCATGAAATTTTGTGATAATTTAGATTTCCACAAAAATCTACACTAAAATTCCTATTTTATCTTCATTTTTTGGAAATTTTATCAAATATTGGCCCTTTCCCCAAACTTCATAATCACGCACACACGTATATGCATAAGAACTACTTCAATTCATAGAATCATGCTGGTACCATGCAAGCAAATATTCTCCAATTATTACACACATTCCACCACTCGGAATTTAGAAATAAAGGCTAGAAAATGTTTAAGACCCCTAAGCATCACCCCAAACGACACGGATGGTTACATGTTAGTTGTTGATTTGTTTATAAATTTGCATAGAAATCGACCAACTACGACCCAACCCCCTTGCCAAATAGCTTAGGGTAAGAGTTTTAGGGTCCCTACCATTTCTCTTACGGGTTAGGGTTATGATCCATCTTGTACCCTAGACAACCACGTGAATTATATATCAACTTCCATTAAAATTCATCAATCTAAAAATAAAAAAATAAAAAACTTCCATTAAAATTCCAACTACCTAGACAAAATTACTTGCTTTAATTCGCACAAGCGTGAAATTTCGTAATTACCAAAAATCCACTATGATCGAGCAAAAACAAGCACGTGAATTATATATCAACCTCCATTAAAATTCCAAGTACCAAAACAGAATTAATTGCTTTAATTCATACAAGCATGAAATTTTGTGATAAGTTTGGATTTCCATTACGAAAAATCTATAATCAAGCAAAACAATCATATAATCGATCAAAAAACAAAGCACGGATTGAATTAAGGCTAAACAAATCAAAGTGATCACCTGATTGAGCCATGTTTGTGTTCTACGAAGATTAGAACACTTCACTTTGTCTCCATTTCGATTTCGGAGACACTGATTCGGTACTCGCTCCTGTGTAAAGGCACCAAATTGAGATTCGAGGTTGGTTTCGGGCCTTGAAAAAGAACGGTCGACGCCAGAAAATGATCGGACGGCACCGGAGAATCACGAAGCCCGAGGATCAGTTAATCAGCGCATGATCGATTTCCATCATCTAGAGTAGCACTGACAAAAAATTCGACAATTTAAGAGAGTGAGAATTGACTTCAGTAGTTGAATTGAAGCGTTTAAAAGATCCCTTCACATTTTTATCACGTTTTCATATAACTAATCTGATAAAAATAAATATTAAAAAAATAGATTTTTAGTGATAAATTCACCTTAGAGTTGTTATAACTCATTAAGTCTATAAAGGAATATTATAACTTGATTAGTCTCATATATTTTTCTTTTTATTTCATAAAATCTATTTTTCTAACTTTATATTTTTACCTAGACTATTATGTCCTTATATATATATATATATATACACACTGTGTTAATACATAACTCGTTTCTTGTGATTTCGTTGATTCAGTTTTGGCAGTTTTTATCATTCTAATTCAAATAGATACGTTTCTATCTTGCATGTTTGTTTTGAGGCTTTGATGTGCTAGGGTTTCATTGTTGCTGTTGTAGTCTGGTTCGGTGATTTTCAAGTGACGACGACGAATTTGAAGGTGTTCGGTTCTCACACTTTCTGGAGTATAACTACTTCAAAGCAATTGTTTTCGAGTTTCTGGACGATTGTAGGATTGCATGATTAAGGTTAGTAGCATTTTAATTATGAATACATGTTCACTTTATGTTTTGATTTGTATGATGGATCAGATGCTCTGTTTTTTGGTTGATATGGATCAGATGCTCTGTTTTTTCAATTATATGCATCATACGTGGTCCTGTGGAGGGGAGGTCATTCAGATTATGTGAAGAATGTGTAGTTCTCATTTTACTTTGATGTATCCATAATGAGGCTCTGTGTGGGTGATATAATTCAGAGTATATGTATCAATGTGAATGTTTACATCTTGTTAATATTATGTAAAGAATGTAGATGTTCTCATTTTACTTTGATGTTTGTTTCATGAGGCTCTGTGTGAGTGATATAATTCAGAATATATGGATCAATGTGAATGTTTACATCGTGGTCCTGTGGAGGGGAGGTCATCAGATTAGTGATAAATGTGGATCTTTTACAATTCAAAGTATGTGGAACAATGTGAATGTTTACATTGTATTAATATTATGTGAAGAATGTGGATGTTTGCATTTTACTTTGATATTTGCTTAATAAGGCTCTGTGTGGGTGATATAATTCAGAGTATATGTGTCAATGTAAATGTTTACATCGTATTAATATTATGTGAAGAATGTGGATGTTCTCACTTTATTTTGATGTTTGCTTAATGAGGCTTTGTGTGGGTGATGTAATTCAGAGTATATGTATCAATGTGAATATTCACATCTTGTTAATGTGAATTATGGATTTAACACTTGAACTGTACACGTAGTTATCTAATTTTTGCACAATGTGAATTTTCATATCGGTTTGGATTACTGTTGCTTGTTGTATTGTTGTGTTTTTACAGGAGATGGATACCTTGGTGATGTTGGTGTGTACATATGGTTGCAGTACAACTGTAATAAATGTTGCCCGCGCATTGTGTTATTCGCGTTTGGTGGACTGTTTGTGTGAAAAATGGGGGGAGTTGTTTGCTGGTTCTATTTCATTATTCTGTCGGTTACCTGGGATTAATAGGTGTGATTTGGATAATGAGGAAGAATTTCAGAACATGTTACTGCTTGCTAAATCAATGGGGGTACAACATGTCAAAGTTGTTGTTGAGTTGAAAAGTGATATTGGTCAGTCAAGTAGCTCGGGATCGCTGCGTATGGGGGTTGAGGAAGAAATTGATGAACTACGGAGATTTTGCCACCATAAGGAGAAAGTGTTGTTGTCAGCCCCTTGGGCAAATGGTATTACGCATGTGGGACAACGGTTTGTTGGAGGTGCACAAGAATTTCGTGATGTTTTATGTAAGTATGCCATCCAATGTGGGTTTCAGTTTACATACGTCAAGAACGAGACAACAAAAGTTACTGTTGTGTGTGCGATACGTGAGGAGAGAGGCTGCTTGTGGGCTATACATTGTAGAGCACAACGAGCAAATGATTTTTTCTACATCAAGAGGTTTAGTGATGTGCATAGTTGTGGTACGGATGTTCGAACATCGAAGAATCCACGAGTTAGTTCGAATTTGGTGTCGAGTACCATATCTGAAATTGTGAGGGACAAGCTGTTGACTTAGCCGTGTGAGGTGGTGGCTATTTTGAAGAGGGATTATGGGCTAGATGTGAGTTACCATGTTGTATGGTTGGGTGTGGAGAAAGCAAAGGCTGGTATTCATGGAGATCACTCATTATCGTTTGACCAGCTGCGGTGGTATTTGGATATTGTGATGCGGAACAATCCAGGGAGTTATGTCAATATTGACTATGATGCGAGTAGTCAACAGTTTTGTCGTTTCTTTGTGTCATTCGTTGCATTTATTTCTGGGTTCAATTCTTGTCGGCCTTTATTATTCCTGGATAGAACATTCCTCAAATGAAAGTACAAAGGTCAGCTACTTGCGGCAACGGCGAAAGACGGAAACAATGGTTAGTATTTTTTTTAGCTGTCTATTCATGTCAATATTCACATTGAGCAGCATAGTCTGGACAAATGAGTGATTGAGAAATTATAAGTAATGTGAACATTGATATTAGTATGCACTAATGTGAATGTTCACATCTGTGTCTGCTAATGACAGTAATGTGAACATTCACATTATTATACATTGATGTGAATGTTCACATCAGTATATACTAATGTCAGTTGATCCATTAATGAACAGTTTTGTGAATGTTCACATTATCAATGACTCAACAATCACAATGAATTATTAATGGTCGTTAATGTGAATGTTCACATCATTGATGTTTACGAACCCGAATCCAAAAATAACAATAGTAATAGGGCAATGTAGATATAAACATTCGCATGACCTGTTTCGTTTATATTATTTTCTATTCACTTTGGAATATTGTGAACAGTTGTGCATTGGTGTTGTATTGTAGGTCTGTTTCCTGTTGCATTTGTGATTGTTGATTCAGAGACCACGACCAATTGGTCGTGGTTCTTCCATGAACTTGGGAAGGTTGTTGATGGTAAACGCCAGATTACTTTTATTTCGAATCGTAATCTTGGTCTGTTAGAAACTATGTCAAAGGTGTTCCTATCGGCTCATCACGGTTATTTCATACAACACTTGAAGAGCAATTTAAGAGATCGGATGAAAGGAATTGATCATGGATTCAGGGATCACCTAGTAAGTAGTTTGGGTGACTGTGCTTACGAGCTAACTGTGGTAGGGTTCCATGAAAAGCTTGCAAAATTAAAAGAGGAGGGTAAACAACGAGCTCATAATTTTTTCAAGAACTTGGTACCTGAGCACTGGGCAAATTCATACTTCAGGTAATAATAGTTTCCTAAAGTGTTCCATTTGTCAAGTTTAGAATGGTAACGATGTGAATTTTCAGTTTAAAATGGTAACAATCTTCCAATTGTGATTCATATTCAATGTAAATGATGTGAATGTTCACATCTGCTAATGATGACTGATGTGAATAATGTGAATGTTCATATCTGTTAATTTGTCAAGCAGTCATGCAATGTATTACAGATTTGAATGTTGGCACTTGTCATATTTTGTTGTTGTTAACATTCACATATGTCTATCATTTAAGTTGACAACATAATAAGCATATAATGTTCACTGCGAATGATGTTAATCTTCACATCTGTCAACGTGAATGTTCAGACCTGTTAAATTCCGTATTGTACATTGTTTATGATATTGTGCAGGGGCATACGTTATGAGGAGATGCCATCCAATGCGGTGGAGTCATTTAATAACTGAATTAAAGAAGCACGTAATCTTCCTATCACTCAAATGGTAGACACAATTCGTACTCAGTTGATGCGGCAAATGTCTACATGGCGTGACCAAGCAAACAAATGAAATGAGCTTAGTTGTCCTACATTCAAAACAAGGCTTATGGATTCGTTCAATGACAGCAGGTCTTGGCAAGTTAGCAAAGCCAATGAGGATGTGTTTGAAGTTCATTCGATATCATCTGTTACAGTTGATGTTGCGAGGCGTACATGTTCTTGCTTCAAATGGAAAATCAACGAATTCCCATGTGACCATACTGTTATTGCTATTCAGAAGAGTCGCTACAATCTCAATGATTGTGTGGAACATTACTTTCATGTAGAGACATATCGTGTAGCCTATTCGGGTGCCATATTCCCTATACCATCGGTGGAGAGGCCGTCTTTTGATCCCACGGACTTCACTATATACCCGCCAACTGTGAAAAGACCGGAAAATCAACGGATTCCCATGTGACCATACTGTTATTGCTATTCAGAAGAGTCGCTACAATCTCAATGTTTGTATGGAACATTACTTTCATGTAGAGACATATCGTGTAGCCTATTCGGGTGCCATATTCCCTATACCATCGGTGGAGAGGCCGTCTTTTGATCCCACGGACTTCACTATATACCCGCCAACTGTGAAAAGACCACCTGAAAGGCCGAAAAAGAATAGGATCCCATCAAGGGGTGAGAAACTGAAGCAAATAAGGTGCGAGAGATGTGATAAGTTGGGGGGCCATAATCGGAAATCATACAAGAAGCCGATATAGGATGTACATTTTTCATTTCAATATTATGTTTTACATTTGATTCTTATATTCATTTTTGAAATAAGATTGTGTTGTGTTGGCAAACATTGTGTTGTAATAAGATTACGTTGCATTGGCAAACATAATAATGCATTAGTATTTGATTTGTGTTTTATTTTTAATTTTTTAACGTACCAATCTGACATTTATGTTGTTGTGTTTTGGATGAATCCATGATGTTAACATTCACACTTGTGTAATATAATCACATTATGTGAATAATTGCACATTGGTTGAACTTTTAAACATTTTCTGTGGTGTGAATGCTCACATTGTGTTACTGTTAACAGCAACAAAGTAGATGACATGAACGTTTACATCAATGTAACCATTCACATCATCAACTAATAAGATGTGAATATTCATAACATCGTTGCTGTCATTCAAATAATCAGAAGTTATGATGTGAATATTCACATCATCAAATTATTAGATATGAATATTGACTTGTGTTAAG